GGGTGCTGGGGGCGGGGCGGCGCTGCGGCTGCTGCGGCGCGGCGCCTGCGCCCTGCGCGCCAAGCAGTACCAGCTGCTGGCTGTCACCGGACTGATCGCCACCGACGCCGAGTACGAGGTATGTACTGCTCGCTGTGCTAAGTGTGATGTGCGGCAACACTTCAGTGTTGTGAGTGTGTGCGCGGTTGTGTTGTCAGGCCAGCAAGGTGCTGCAGTCTGTGCGCATCCCCTAGGCCCGCAGCCCGCAGCATGCAGGCCGCAACATGCAGCCCGCAGCCTGCAGCCAGTGTGACATAGCGCACTGCGGCTCCACACTAGATATGTTTAACTTTATCCCTTTACTTAATATGTTAGCTATCAATAATGTTCACTTTCTCGGAATATATTTTACATATAAAGGAGCCGATGTGTTTTTGAGAACTAAATTTAAGAAAATGTAACCACAACACTCGAGCAGTTTTCCGGAGGCTCCCGAAGTAATTCAGCAATTCACACAAACTAGTTATTTACACAATATAACGCGACACATTGGTTGCACACATTGGATGTACTTATTATTGTGTTTAGTTCATAAATATTCTTGTGATCATTCTACCTCCGGTTGTTTGTCAATTTGTGTATCATTTTGTCAATTTTGATGTGATGTTGTAAATAATTGATTTGATTAGTTATATATATAATTTAATATCGTGTTCAAGAAACTTATAAACATATGAGATAGGGCTCAGTGGCACATCACTTGTCGCACACGAGTCAGAGCGGGACCCCTCTCGCTCGCACTTTCAAATGAATATCAGTGGAAATGAGCGCAGTGATGACAACATAACATGTAGTGATGTAGTTCTGCACAAATGGTTGCAGTTCTGAGGCACTGACATTCAAAATATCAAGTTTACTTTGATTTTATTACAGAAATCACGTATAAAAAGTATTATCTTAAAAAGTTATGATTTTCGTTGAATATTTAATTACACACCACATAACGTTTGATATTAATTATTTCACTTTTAAACACATTAGTATATAGAGAAAGTATATAAAAAGTTGATATAAAGTACCGCTTCACCGCCGCCGCCGTCTGACGCAGCAACTTTGTAACAAGTAGAGTAAGTTATCCAGCGCAATACAACACGCACTCAAACCAGTTGATACATACATGTATTATATGTATTACAATGTATGTATGAACCGATTTGATGTATGAAGCCTTTAATTTACACGGATTATATAAATAATATCGCACGATCCCTAGTTCCTAAAGGAATTGCATCCGATTAGAGGGACGCGCGGACAGACACGAACTACTTTAAGCAAAATAAAGTTATTTATTCAATTTTTAATGAATTTTTCCAAATAATTATTTTATTATATTTTATTTATACTTGGTCTACTTTTTATCGATTTATTACGTGTTTAATAATATTTCTCTTTGGTATGCTTTTGCATATTTGATGTATGCAAACGTGTGTCGTGGTGTCCGCGAGCCTGACATCCCGCACTTAGATAATAACGGTATGAACAAACCAACATGAGGTGCCTAAAACATTACACATAAATATATTGTACGAGTCGTTTATTTGCTTTAAACTTCGGTCGATAACTTTATCTTGTAACATAGTTGTGTTTACAATATAATTACGTTGTATATTTTCCTAAGTGGTATTTGCTGACGCTACTTTTGTAATTATGCGTAAGATGTACAGTTACTTTTAATATTTAATTACATTTTCAATTATTGACGATAAAATTTGTCTTTAAAATTTTTTATATGAGGAAACCTCAAAAGTCTTATTTGCATTTCGTTTTATCATGTTGGCAACGCCACAAACTGCACAGATTATGCACTATTATATTTCGATTAGTATTCATCGGTGCAAAATATATGAAAAAGCTCTATTTCTTGCTTCAAAAGCTCGAACCGACCGAAGCTTTACGATGTTGTTTGCTTCTTGTACTTGATGAACTTGTGAGCGATGTATTTTATCATGAAATCGTATTAATATTTCATTATTTATTTTGCATTTGTATGGAATTGTGTGTTGTTTGAAAATCTATTTTATTATTTTGTTGTATTGTTTATAATTATATAATATCATTGAGTCAATTATTGTGTACATTGGTCTACTCAATTTTCTCTTATCGTTTATTAATTGTTATGTAATTCTAGTAAAATTGACCAAAAAATCGTTGTTTTCTAGTTATATGAAAATTGTTCAAATTGTTTCTAGTGTAAAGTTTGCGTACGGCGACCGACGCTGTCATGTCGACGTTGTCGTGACAAGGCGGAGAGTTGACTTGTCAAGTTTGTATGGTGACATGAGGTGGCGTGGCGTTTGTATTCGACCAAATTAATGTGGATTATTTCAAAATATAAAACTGAATGAGTTTATAAGCACGCGATATATTTTTTTACGTATTCCTTTGTAATATCTCTTGCTGTACAATTTGTTTGTTATCTTAAACGAGACAAACGCCACTAGGTCACTGATGAAGTCAATAGAGAATGTTTCATGTATATCGCTAGATTTTCTTTTTGCTATATTTTAAATAGTTCATAAAATTCCAATAAACATAGGAATATTGCTATATTGCTAAGTAACTCACAAATAGGAAGCTGTGATAGGTAATGTAACAATGCCACAGAGAGCGCTGCGAGCGGCGCCGCCCCGCCCCGCCCCGCCCCGCCACACACATCCACCTGCTATATAACAATACTATGTATATGTATAATCATCGTCCGCGCAATAGTATGCACATAAAGCCAATTGTTGTAATAGATTCAAACATATATATTTTTCTAAGTAAAATAGTTGTGATGCCGCGCTGTGTACCGCGCTGTGGGCAGGGCGAGCGGCGCCGCTGCGGTGAGGCTTCGTAGCAACAGCTAGGCTGTGCTGGTAACATGTTTCTTCAATAAAATATCATAAGTTACATAACTATGTCTTTTACTTACCATCTTCTACCACTAACTTGTTGCCAATAAAAGTAGCAGCGGCTCGGAGCGGGCCACAGCACCGCGCTATACAACATATTGAAAAATCAATTTATATTTTTATTAACATAATGTTAGTCTGTATAATGACATTTATTGCTGTATATAATTGAAAGTAAATAATACTTGAGATTTATTAAGTCGTTCAATTAAACACTTGCTCGAATTAAACATAACTGGACTTATTAATCGTATTTAGTTAGTAAATTTTATTTTTCTGCATCTACATAAAAAGGAATTTCCAGTGTTAAGTTTTTAGATAACTGAGGCAAGTGATATTGAGTTGTATTGCGCAAGCACTGCTGGTGTAGTGGTATCATGCAAGATTCCCATTCTTGCGACCCGGGTTCGATTCCCGGGCAGTGCAATGATTTTTTTTACCGATGTTAAGTTAATTTTATTTAAACATACTGCAAATATCAACATAATTCCTCGAAAATAAATGTAAATGTTTATTTAATCTAAAAAAAATCAAATAAACGGATAGAAAAGGCGTAAATATTTTTGAAAACTTTATTTAAAAATCCTGTATAATTATAATGTTCACAAAGTACAGTCACAAAGACAATATAACAATTCGTATTAAGTTTATACGGAGCACATACATACATACATACATATGGCTCAGTGTCACACACACATGCACACCTTCGTGAAAAGAAATGCCTTTAAAACTGGTCACAAAGTTGTATGTCGTCACAATTTGTACATTGCTACATAATATGTACTTGTCGCTATTATATCAATATTCGAGTGTAAACAAGTACATACCTGCAAATAACATGATGGATATATATTTATATGTATAAGTGTGTGTTACAATTGTCTTAAAAATGTCGTATTTTAATCGAATTAACAAACAAGAAATAATGAGATTAATATGTTTATTTATAAAATCCAGAACATATCAGCGAACTTTTGTCCGATAAAAAGGTTAAAGTTATTTGATATGTCAAAGAGATTGTTTATTTTGTTTATTGAAATTCTAAGGAAGTATTACAGAAAATATATAATGTGTTGTAAAACAAACGCGCACACAAACAAAATGCACATTATTTTTGTATTATTATGTATATTTGTGCGCACTCTCTCATAAAAAGCAAGTAACTACTTGTTATGTTTTTTTATTTTTTATTTTTTTTTACAACTTAGGACATAAACCTTAAAGATCCATACAAATATGATATAATACAAGTTCTTATAAGTAAATAATGAAGTAACATACTTTTACGTAAATAAATATTAAACATAAGTTGTACATTTAACTAAAGTGATGATGAATACTTAAACTTCCATAAACGACATTTATTTCATTCATATATAAATTAATACAATACCTGTAAGGAAATACCTAACGTCACTTAGGAACTTCTGGTAGCCATTTCTAAATTAAAATTTAAAACGTGCTAAATTTTGAGAGCGAAAAAATGCTCGGAACGTTCTAAAAACGTTAGCCGTCTCGTTCTGTCACAACAGTACAGACAGAGACGGTATGCTCCGAGGCAAAGAGTAGCTAAGCGTTGTTGTCGGGCCATAGACAAACCTCTTCATATCACAGCTGACAAAATGCACAAGAAAAGAATGCATTTTGTTTTGGTAAAGCTAAGTGTGAACTTATTATCTATGTCTTACGGTAGTTAGGAGACTTGTCTATGGTGAAGTGCACGCGAGCAGGCGAGCAGGCGAGCACGCGAGCAGGCGAGCAGGCGCACTGTTCGCCGGTCACTAGAATGGCTGCGAATTTTCCTAAACCCGCGACGTACGTAAAATAAATAATAGAAAGGTATAGAGAAATACTTATTTAGTATACTAAGAGAGGGCGGCGGTCGGTCTCCGCACCTTGGTCCCCGCTACTACTGTCAGAGTATACGTGTGATGTAGTGAGACACGACTGCTGCCACTCTCCTCACTTACAAACTAACATTTCAACAACTGAGTCGGGTTTCTCTGAACGTTCACGTGAAAATTGCAATATATTGTGGAATTTCAATAGAAAAATTCGTTGTAAATGTTACAAATTATCCATTATTATGAATAATATCATGAATTCTTTACAAGCGTACATATAAAAATCAATATACACGTTAAGGGCACTTTTACCTGCATTACAATTGAATATAAGATCTATTTAGCACTGACTGGCGCGACTGACACTTCTATATAAATCGACAGTTGCGGAGGAGCAGGAGAAATACGGTAAAGTTTAACGTATTTGCTTGTGTTTCACGTCAAGATATTGGCCCAAGCTGATGATATGTGAGGGTACAATCATTGTCCATTGCGCGCCGGCATCCTACCGCACTTCCTTACATCACATTTTACAGCCTTTTTTTTAGTTTTTTCACATTTTTTTTTATTTGACATCGCAAGTCTTTATCTAAAGCTAAGTATTACTTTATCGTCCTCTTAGGACAGTTTCAGTAAATTCTGTAAACATTTCACAAAATACTGAGTACAATGTATGCACAGTACAAAATAAATCAGTTCGAATGTTTCATGTAAAAAATATAAATTCATAATTTTAAAATTAATATAAAACCAATGAATGTATATTTGTAATCGTTCAATTGTATAATTGTATGGATCTATTCATACATACATACAAATGATTCGTGCACTCTCTACTTGTCGGCTTCTATTTCTTCTGACAATAATTAGAGCTGAACTCGCAACAGAGAAATGAACTGTGTTTTAAAATTGAATACAATAATACTAAAATAAAATGGTACATTCACTGATAACAACATTATTGATCAGTTGACGTTTTCAATATGGTCGCGTAATTGGCAGCTGCTTCAAAAGTTATATTTTATTATAAAAATATTGATACGATTAATATCGTGAATAAAAGTCTCGTCTACTTGACGAGGAGACGAGGAGACGAGGGAGAGGGAGAGGGAGAGGGGCTACACATGTAAATGTATTCAGCAATAAATAAGAAGGAAGGTAAGCTGGTGTCATCGTCAACTGATAATTGTAATAAATTCACTACACTCTAACTAGGAAATGTTTGAATACCGGGAGTCGTGACGCTCGCCACATCTGCAGGCTCACACCTTTTGCTGGGGGAGGTGGGGGTGCTCGTTGAGGGGCTCCTCCTCCTGTCTAGGTGCAGGGGGTGCGGGGGAGTTCCAGGGCTGCAGGTCCCCGGAGCCGAGGGTGACGAAGCAGAGCGCGCCCAGCAGGTACGTGCCCGCCAGGATGTAGAACACGATCTGCCATTGCTCGTACGTGTTCTGAAACAAGGAATTTCATCATAAGCGGGAAGAACATCGGCATCTACGAGCCTCGGAACCGATTAAGAGACAAACTTACATTTTCATGTGTGAGCTCCCCCACCATGAACGTGGAGAGCCAGCCGCCGAAGGAGGACAGCGTGTTGGCCATGCCGAAGATGGTGCCTACAAATACGAGCGAATCATTAGCAATGCATCAGGTGTGACGGCAGGTGTGCCGCTGCCTGTGGAGGCGGTGGTGATGCGTACCGCTGAAGTTGGGGGCGATGTCGAGACCGTTGCCGAGGTAGCCGGCGGTGACGGCGCCGTTGATGGTCAGCGCCAGCGTGAAGATGGCGATGGACCACACGCGGTCGTGACCCAGGAACGCTTGCACTATCATCATCACACCTGCACAACACACATTGAAGTTAGATAATGCAGGTGTTAGAAGTGCGCGTGTCGTGTAAGTCGGCGAGTTACCGGGCAGGCCGACCGCGAAGCCGGTGAAGAGTTTGCGCGCGGCGGTGGTGGAGAGGCGGCCGGAGCGGCGCAGCGAGTCCGCCAACACAGAGGACGCCAGCGCGCACAGGTACTTGCCCAGGTACGGCAGCGACGACAGCAGACCGTTCTGAAAATTATCACATCTTTTCTCTAATAATATAATACATTCGTCAAGGAAGTAATACAAAGGATACGAGTCGTTCATACGTTTCAATATTCCACTACAAAAAGTAACGCATTTAAACTTTGCATAGTAATTAAATTGATAAGAACTATAAAAAATGTTTAAAATTCAAGTCTCGACGTAAGATGACAAAGGCTTATCTATCTATGCGGCGCTGTCGGCATATTTAAGTGAGCGGAATTCCCGCGCAGGTAGGCAGGCAGGCAGCACCCCACCAATACAATGCCACCGGATCACTCAATCCTACAGGATCATATGACGCACGATCTTTTATATTTTTTGAGAAATCTCTGTAGTAATGATACCATTATCCAAAAGTGTGGAAGTTTTATTTTTAGAGGTTTGTCAATGCAAAAATGTAATGCTTGAGATTGCGAACAAAATGTTTCAAGCAGTACTTTAAAGCTCTATAATGTAAATGTACATTAATACACTCATTACTTGGACAACAAAGGACCGCACATAATCAGGACGTGGAGGATTTGTTTGGCGGTAATTTAACATGTCATTAACTTGACCTCATAAAAGGTTATCTTACGTGACGTGAATACAAATCATTCAATAAGCTACACTTTTACAATGGAATAACAAGAATTACAACATATCCTATACTTCATACACGACGATGATAAAAAGACAGATAAATATTTAAATTGGTGAGTACATCGTTATAGCACGAGTTTACTTATTTGGTAGCTTAGAAGGGAAAAAAGGCGACGTAAATTCGTCTCAAGGTTACTCATACAATAAAAATGATACTAAAAAATCTTCAAACGTTTTTTTACGTACACATTCACCCCTATTATCCTGTTTAATCGCATTACGTTGAGCCTCGTGTGAGGGGAAGGAGGAGGGCAGTGAAGCGTGACTCAGTGGCAGCCGGCGGGGGCTCGCTCTGCCGCCACGTCATTACACTGGCGGTCGCACGAACTAACACGCAAAATAAATGCTTGTGCTTCACAGTATCGAGACCCTATTGTACACTGCGTTACAAAAGCGTCTACATTAGCTTCGTTTACATTTATTTACGCTATACAGTGAAAAGGAAAGACTAGTGTGTCGATGTCTCAGGGTTTTGTAAGTATCTTAGGTGATATAAAGTTGACCACCTCTGCATGACAGTATACAACAGTGTATATTTTAGTAAGAGGCGGATAAGGAAATGTCTACAATTACAATTATTAGCAGTAACATTAGACATGTCCGCAAAGCGTGCGACGCCACCGGCCACTTCCTTGTTCCGTAAGATAAACTGCCTCTTATTGTAGCTAATATTTTTTATATTTCAGTTATTTATATCAACGACGCTTTCAGCTCTTTTTGCACTTAATACAATAGCCAGCACTTTCTTGTCCTTTGATAAGATATATAAATAACTTTAATAAGTACTTTTTGTAGGCAGTGTACTTGTTGGCAAAGGACGTTCACTGCACCGGTACAGTTTTGCATCATGAATCATCTGGAAGCCAGTCGTCTCCGTGCTACAAGTGTTGAAAAAAACTGTAGAAGCAAATAATCTTAAATAGATGTTTTTCACTATCCAAAAGAGGAAATGCAAACATAAATCTAGTGACGTGACACGATTTCAACAAAATTACCCAAAAACATTTGCTTGTGAACGAAACGCTAACATATTGAGCAAATATATATATATATATATATAGTATATAATTTGACGTACATCCTTTTTCCTCCCACTAAATGTAAACTTTAGTTAGTGTGTTATAATATTGTGTTTAATTTTATCGCGTCGTAGGTAATGTAGACAGACGGCTAACGTTTATGTAATCGAGGTATAATTTACAAGGAAACTTCAAATTGTGTTTATATTTAGTTTAGTTCCAGTGAGCTTCCTGCGCCGTGTCTAATGGATCTGGCGTTTCTCCAGAATTATAAATAATAGACGCGACCTTCCCGACATCTCAATGTTACTTATAACATTTCGTTGGAAACAGATACACTTTATTTATGTTGATTTCATAAAAAGAAAATTAAAAGTATCACTTTTTATTAATTTTCTTATCTTCCTTTACATTTTTTTTATAAATTGTTATATTTTAATGGGCTTTGTTTTAAATCAAGGCAAAAGAGAAAATGTGCTCCGCGGACTGATCCTTTGCGAATACCATATTGATGTATGAACATATCTGTTTGACAATGACCTGACTACATTAGGAATACATGATTCAATATTACATATGCACACTTGTAATTTTCCTTTGTCATAAAGCCATGTAGGGCGAAGGTACATTGTCTAATTTAACGATGAGGCTAGTAATTTTCTGCTTGTAAATGCAGGCTACCTCTGTTGCTGGAACTGTTAATCTTAGAAAATAGAAGCAAGATCTTTTTTACATCTTATTGTTTGCCGTTTAATCTTCTGCAACCAAAGAAGAACCATTTATTTCCTGAACTTATCATTGATAAATAATAAGTGCTATATCTATTTACAATTATAACCACATCGTGATTTTGTCCAAATAAAGATACTTTAAATTACCTGTTATATAAAACTACACATTTTAAAACTCACAATCTAGCTATTGATCAATCATTTGGTTGTCTTAAAGGAGTATGCGAGCACCTTGCATTCTGCTTCTCATACAATGAATATCAGTTCAAACCACTTTACTCTTTCTCCGACTTGTTACGAGTGAAGGAAATGTCCAATATGCGACAGGATGCGGCAATACACCAAGTGACGTCATAAGTCAGCTACATCTGGACTATTAGGGCTCGTCTCTTGTTAGAAAACAGGATAACACGATATTTTAAGACAAAGAATTACGCTTTAAGAGACACAATTAATGTCCCAGCACGCCGTGTCACAGACCTTATACAGGATGTTGCTATTTTTAAACTAAAATACTAACTGCATTTTTTTTATTCTATCGTAAAGAGGTTGCGGTTAACGTAGCGTAGGTTTTTATTGAATTCTATAATTAGTAAGGCGACGGGCGCCGAGCTCCGGAATGTCCGGCGACGCTTATACCAGTTTCACACGACGGCGACGGCGGCAGAGTGGAGCAGAATAGTAAGTAAGAACAGTACTGCCAATGTTCGTTTGAATTTTAATCAATGGCAGCACTACTCTACTCGACTGTGGCGCCCTCGTGTGAATCTAGCATTACACTTGCGGTGCAGGCAAATGTCCTATAAGTCCAAGCTCTAGTACTAGGTTCACAGCTATATTTAGAAGTCTTGTTTAAAACCTAGCAGTGTTGTTTTCTTTGTTTACTGGAGTTATAATTAAACATATAATAGTATAGCAAAACAAGTTTTTTATTATGGCACTTTTGCGGATATTTTACTTCTAAGAAATTTCCCTCAATACTTTAAATATTTTTTTACAAACGAGCAAGCGGTCACTGCCCATAGATATTTGCAATTCCAGATGGCTTGACTTTAATAAACGGAGGTGAATACCACAGAAAGAGGATATTTCTTGATAATAAATAGTAATAGTAACTACAACGCCACTTGAAAAAATTTAAATTTTGTTTAATTCTTGCATTTCTAGACATTTCAAAAATTTACAACACAAGTAAATGTTGTACAACACCGACACAGAAAATAGAAAGATGCGATTTAATATTTACAAGTTGAATTAAATTATTTTCAGGGGGATTTTATATAATCTTCTTCCTAAAACTTGTCAACAGTCGAATACCTGATAACAAGATGCACGATAAAGCGCGACTATTTCTTGATGTTTTGTTTTCACAACATAATTAGTTAAGGTCAGGTACGACTATCCTTATTGTAAACAGGTTTTATATTGTAGTGAACATTCAACTTTTTCATCTTTTTGTTGTCATACTAGTTGTGAAAGATTTGCATAAAATATGTAAATTCATGTATTATTTATAATATAAAAATAATACATAATTTTAACAACCACCATATACTAGTTTTTAACTACAAAGGCGTTTCTATCGAATGCAGAGGGAAAAAAAATTGTTACTGACAAAAACATCTTAATTTAATAAATTAAATGAACATACATCTTAAGAGTACTAGACAAAAAAGTGATTAAACTGCGGCGCCTTAAAAGCGCTTAATCTCCAACAACTACGGTCACCATGCGATTTATTTGTTTAGGACATTCCTAATTTTTATGAAGTCATCATATTGTTTCCTTATCAAAACCGCAACAAATAACATTAACGTATAAGCAATTTACTTTGTACTTTAAATAATGACAAAGATGACTCATTACCCACCAGTGACACGATTAGTATAGCTTTAGTGCGTACATTTTAAAATGAAACCGACTGACAGATAAAATGACTACTTACTACAGCTAGACATTACTTATTACATAGTTATAACAAATACATAGGCCACGAGTTAACTATTTTTATACCTTATAAGACATTTTATTTTTCAACAATCCGTCCATAATTTTCCTTAATTTATCGAGTACGTAGCCTTTATCTTGTAACTGTATCTTTAGAATATATTTGTAAGCTTTAAATGTAGACTTTTCATAGATTTCGGTAAAGCCAAGGACCGGGCAATAATGTGTGGAATTTATGTTATTAATATATAAATTATCAGAAGCTGTCCAGTGGTCGGCTGATGCAATCGCCCAGGAGCCTTGCGTGATGCTTGTTTGTCCTTTGCAACTTGTGGAAAAGCCAAGCAAAATTATATCGAAAATGCACCCACAGACAGTCTTTATTGTAATACCACAAAACGACCCGTTTTAAGACTTTTTAAATTAAATCACATGAAAAGAATTCAAACCACAACACTTGATAACAGGCTTTATCGCTTTGGAAAGCAGTTTGTATCAAAAATAATGATTTTATTTCACTAGAAAAAACAAATTGTTCCTCTTAGAGCATTGAAGTGATTCTTGGTATAATAGTTCAAATATCAGGTAATAAACTCCGAGATGAAATACTTTGAGGTGAATTTGAGTTCGATACTAAATGTCAAAAAAACACAACATGTATTTAAAGGAATTCAAATCAATTCATGAACCAGTTCAAATCGGTATTCGGAACGTTTATGTAAATTATAGTAACGGTAGCTATCTCTCTTAAATTTAAATCCGACAACGATAACGAGAATTATTTATTCAATATTACATAATAATGTCGTTCTTAACTAAGATTAGTGTTATTTGAATAAATAAAGTGTCTAGTCAAGTTAAGAAACCAGCTGAACAAGTCGACAACATGAGCGGCTCACGTTAAATAAATTTACCGTTCATTTGTGTCATAAACGTGTGTTCTAAATTAAAAACATCGATAATATATTTTAAATAAAATAATATGAGTCACGGTTATAAGTCTAGAAGTTATCTAAACGGAAAAAAGTCAAGTTATTGACTACAACAAAGTGACACGTGTAACTTGTGCTAACAATGTATCTGCTGCGCTCTACATCAACTGACACGTGCTAACTCACATGCCATGTGGGAATGTCCAAGTTATATCCCTTTGACGAAACTAATCGTTCTTTAAAACAATACATTATGAAATAATCAAGTTTAAATAAGGCACGTCTACAATTTGAATCAAGTTTTAATTAGATATAGATAAATAAATAATAGTACTACATAGGTTTACTATGCATTGCTGATAGAACTTAAAGTAATACTAACTAATATAATTTATTAGTAAAAAATTATGTTTAATAATTTTGTCCGACTATTCGCATATAAATTATGGAATCCCTATTATGAACGCCCTCTATATTTTTAATAGGACAGATATTTATAAGTATTTACCACTTAGTTATTAATGAATTTATTTAAAAAGAGATCCGAGAGTTCATAAGTTAAATCGGTGTAAAAAATTATGAGTTATAAATGAATCATTAGCTTTCCATTTGGCACGTAAAGAAGGTCCACCTCGTGACAACTACGTTACATGTGTTCAATAATTTTCCACCAACATATTGTCAAAGTGGTCATGTTTATCATAAGTGATTAGTATGTCGGGGAGTTCCCAACATTTAAACTATTAAATAATAAATGTTTCTATACAAATGCTGCACTAGTATTTTATGACTTTCGATAATTATTCGTTCTCCTTCATTAAGTGTGGTTTAATGTGTCATATTTGAATTGCGCGCTCAACAATGGGTTTTTGTTTTGATCCTATAACGATGATATGTAGATGTAAAGAAGAACTACGCTGATAATCAAAAATAATAATGTTCCCATGAGAAAGGTGTCTAGTGCGGGATGTTATGAGGTGAACTTCCTTTCATAACAAACTAATTCAACATTTCGCTATAAACGTGTTAATGTTAAGGAAACAATCGACACTTGCTAACAGACAGATATTCTTTTAAATATTTAAATTGACACAGTGGATATCAACAGAAATGTATTTTTACAAGAGATTTAGAATCAAAAGATCGATATCCTGACAGCGTGAGATAATAAAAAAATCGCTTGAATAAATCTAAAAATAATGATTGAAATGAAATCAATCATTGTATATATACTATCAGATCTGATTGTTGGACAATACATCTGATTATTTATTGATAGTTTAAATGCAAAACATAGAGAGATTGTATGGAGATCGGATCCGTATGGAAGAGAGAAGGAGTAGAAAGTGAACGCTTACGTGTTTGATGTTGAAGTGCAGGATGCTCTCGATGTAGGAGGGCAGCTGGTTGACGACTGTGAAGTATCCGAAGACGGAGGCGCCGTGTGTGATGATGATGGCCCACACCGGCGCCGAGCGCAGCATGGCGCGCCACGGGGCCGGCATGTGCTGCACACAACGCACATGTTTTATGTTCTGCTGCTTTACACACACACACACACACACACACACACATATGTATCAAACTCTAAATATTTTCTCTAACATTATTATACACAACAAAGTTACGAGGATTTCAGAAATGATCAAACCAATGATTCGGCTGCGATTGCTTTGACATGAGAACTGTCGCGCACTTACATTTAAAAATGTTAAATTCTTCACACTTTTGTTAGTCACACTAATATTATTGTTTTCGCAATAAAATAGCAAGCGAGTACTAAGAAGTGATGCAGACATCGCTCACAAACAAGCATTGGGTAATGTGACAATGTAGGCTAAACTGTCAACATTGTCCGAGCTTAGATGTTTAGAGACGTGTAGTGACGTAAGTGTGCCAAGTTGCCTCATTGTTGTCCCTTTCACTGGGTCAGTGTTGGAGACATCTCCTTCTTGATGTAAGCATAAGTTATACATATTATGGAAAAGAGAAACTTGCAATTTTCCAAAGTAGAAATGTTGTATATGTTAGTGAAAGTTCTGTTGTAATATAACATTATAGCACAAATATAAAACATTTAATTGGTTCGTAGAGAAAGCTGACGTCGTTCAATGGGCAAGCGGTTCCTAATACAGTGTTATCCTTGACGTCCGCGCCCACTACACTTAACTTTACGACGACACTATCAATGGAGAAAACTTTACCGCTCTACTCTGCAGTGGGACACTGAAAGCGGTTTTATGTCCACCAATACTAAAACTTAACTAATGCTAAACCTTTTTTATACCTCAATAACTATTTTACTGCCAACTATGTCATTATGTTTTTTATTATTATTATTATGTCATTATGTACTGAAACAATTTTAAAGTTACGCTGAGGTCTAGTGAAAATTAAAAAAAAAAAAAATATTGCTGACAACAACAATGTGTCAGGTGAATATGAACGTAATTGTTGACTCACCCCCTTGGTGTTGTTATCCTGCGGCAGAGCTTTGAGCAGGTAGTTGCGCTCAGCGTCGGAGATGCGCGGATGCTGCGCCGGCGAGTCGTACACCACCGCGAACCACGCCACAGACCACATCACGCCGATTATACCTGCACCACGCGACAATCAGATAATGCACATAACAATGTATGAAATGCAAATTTACAATAACAATTATCACCCTCTTTGGCATGGGTTTCCATGTGGGTGACGAGATATAATCAACAGATGCCGTACATACACAAGTATAATACTTTAATGAAAGTTTAGCTGATAAGTATACTTTAAGTACCTTTAACTTTAAGAATAGTTAAAGTAATTAAGAGTTAGACACTCACCGGTGAAATAGAAAGCAGACTCCCAGCCGAAGTGCGCGATGAGGAAGCCGCACACCGGCATCGTGATGGCAGCGCCCAGGGATGAGGCTGCAATAATATATTCCTTATTTAACCATGTCTAAAGCAGATTTGTTCCTTAATATAACCTAACGAGAATTATTTTGTATTAACGGTGACGCATGTGAAGAAAAAAGCGTATTAAAAACAGTCAAATGATAAAAATGAAGGAACTGGTTGCGATCGGAAAACCCCAGACGGGCAGAGGCCATCGATGGAGGTCAAGGCGTTTGCGAATTAAATCTTAATGACATGCATGCGTTTTCCTCAAAAATGCCTAGACCTAGATGGTCGACGACACAAGGAGAAGGGCAATATTCACATTAAGGTTAAAGTGTCCTGTTAACGCTCATACATAGATCAATAAACACAGATTTTCCTTCCTGGTTTTTACCTGACCTTCAATAAAGTCTTAAACGTAATTTGACGTATTTATTATTGAAGCAAAGAATACTTTAATTAAATGGTAAAGAAATAGTTACGCTATTTTATTCATCGCGGCCGACAAGTAGACGTGTTTTTGTATCATAGTAAACATAATATTACATAAAACATAGCTAGAAATGCTAATAACTTGTTTCAATTAAATGTTGTAACATTGCAAAGTAAGGATTACTAGGTAACGTTATCATTGATTGTCGGGGCCAGGTGCTCCTAGCTTCATACATAACACAACATAGTTGTCGACAAGACCGGTGTTACATTCCTAACTTTGTGACCTGTGCCGTGTAAACACAGGATATTCGGCGGCGTGCTATTCATAACAGTTTTTTTTAATTTTCATTCAAACCTATACACTTTCTTAGTATCTCACCTCACCAATGTGTAAGCTTGTCTATGAAGACTCATACACAACAGACTATGCGTATTATTGTGATATAATATATGTATGTTAGAAGCGAGACTCGATAATGAGTTGTTTCTCCCGCGGCGTCAAATTCCTGTGCGGAGTTCTGCCGCCGCCGCCGCCGCCGCGCTGTCAGTCGTCAACCGACAGCCGCTACGCTAACGAAAGTGAAAGTAAGTAAATCGCCCACTGCGCCGCGCCGCACGGGACTTACTAATAGACGATACGTTCAATTAAATTCTTATATTAAAACCTAGAAACAAGTGAAATGCCGCATAATTCATATGCACTGCATATATGTATCCTGTGCATTTTGTTGAAATAGATTTTTCAAACGGTATAAAACGCCTGTAACTATTGTATTATTATTCTATTGTTTTTTAACTCTATGGTATTTTTTTCGTCACACACGCTTATATTTAATTTAATTACTTTTCGCGATATCAACGCGTGATGTGCTTTTTATCATTATCTAACAAGGAAGTGGCAAAGTGGGTGTTGCCAACTCGTCATCACACTAATGTAACACAAAACATATTAATGACTTGCGTAATACAAAACACGTGCTGATAGTACGATTCTTAATTGATAAAGTATAAAAACAAACTACATTAGTTGATTTACGTACATAATTACATCAACACATGTTTCAAATCATTAAAAGTCAAATCAATCACTTCATTACTATACAAACCAAAGATATTTCCTTTTAACTAGATCTGCTTAGTTCAGAATTCTTCTACCTGTATTTTAAACTTTATTATTACAATGTGTTTGTTAAAGCTCTTCAAACATTTACCTTGTTATGAACGTACTTCAAAATAACAAGCAAGCTGTATAAAGCACTATAACTGTGGGCCGCGCCCCTCTCCAGTCTAGCTGACGTACGGAACAATCGGACGTTATCCGACAAAAACAAAACTAAGCTCTGTTCTCCAGCTTACGACGTTGTATTCGCAATGAGGTTTATTGCCGACACAAATATGCACAGATTACACAGTAACAAACAAGTTTTTGTAATTCAATTGAGCTAGATTTAACAATTCATCGAATGATAACAGTAATTATGAGATGCGACATCATTGTAACCTTGAAATAATTTCTTGAAAACATTAGCAGAATTATAATATTTCTTAGTTATGTTTAAAATTAAATCTTATTTAAAATTTAGCTATGTCGTTTGTTTTTCCAATGATAAGAAAGCAAAACACGCGCACGATGTTTTTATACAGGAAGTAATCATTTGTTGTTATTACACAATTGATGTATTACTTTTTACTACGTCGTGCATCGTTTGTACACGTTAAATACAAATTCTGTACAGTTCTTGAGTATTATTATATTATATAATAATATTAAGATACGACATAATAACAATTAGACAATTTGATAATGATATTAACACGTTGTACCACTTTTGCTGTTTGTCTAGTCTTCGTAAATTTGTTCAAGGATACTGTATCCATCAAATCTAATCTCAAATCTAGAATTGTAATCTGTTTCTCACTGAGCATTATCCATTGTAAATATCTAACTAATCTTTAGAACTAATCTGTTCACACTTTGTTTTATTATCTTCAATATTGTAGGTATCAGCGCAAATTCCGAGATTTTTTTTTTAATAAAGTTGTTCGTGGCAGCAGTCAGTCAGCCAGTTCAGACGTCAATTTAAAATGACCGATTATATTCGCTGGCTGTCTTCTCGCGATTGAATTAATTCGTTGCGCTCAAAATTACCAACGTGAATGAACCAACTGTAAAGTCAATTTAAACTTATGATATAAGAAGTTGATTAAGTTGGTACTAATATTTTGGAACTTTCAAGAACATTTTTAAAGGTTATATTTTGAAGATACAAATATAAAATACTACATTGGGCTGATATATTAGTGGAGATAGACTTTTCTTCGCCACATATAAGTATTGAATATCGAAATTCTGGAATGATACTAAAAGAAGACAGACCTCTGTTATACATTTTAAACATTTTATGAAAGTTTATGTATTTGTTTATTGTCGTTGTTGTAGGTATGGTTACGTAACGTAACATATTTCAATTGTGTGAGATATGTTACCTGTAATAATTACAACAGCACGATGTTCAATTATTACCGGCAACGTGACCGAGGACTGAGAAATCAATTGATAATTTATACACATCTAACTTTTTGCTGCAAGTATGTATTTGTAGCTATTTTGAAATGTGATATTTTTTATTATTCAATTCATCCATTTTTTTATCTCAGTCAGTCAGTTTGTGGAACGCCTTTTACGAAGTTCATAATGGGTATAACCTTGTAAATAGAATTATGAATAGGAGTCTTAATTTTATAATTGCAGTGTTAATTATATATAAGTAGACTGATTTTTTTTTTATTTTATTACAAATTATACGTAATGAATCTCAAAACTGGAAATTTTCACACCTTTTGACAAAACGTTGACAATATACGTAACAATACAAGTGTCACGGCTGCAGTGGAATTCTACTGATAGAAGTAGTGTGAGTGTGTACGAGTAAAGCATGCGTCACTATTGTACTAAATAAGTCCTTCAAAGTAACGTATGCAAATGTTATCACAGCGCGACACAAGGTCCCCCGCCACCCTCCCAGCCCTTATCCGACATGTCTTATATACTAAAACTTAATTATAAATCATTTAAATGTAGTGTTACATATTGACGTGAAAAAAAATTATCGCTATTGCCAAAAATATTATAATTAATATCATTTATAACAATTCAATTTAATAATTTAATATTATTGCTATAGCTAGGCGAATAACTACAAAAGAAACAGTTCAAATAATCACAGTACAGTTTACTGCGTCACGTTTTAGCAACATTAGCAATGATGAATTAAAATAACCGTGGCCTATTAAAATGAATAAAGATCAGTTTGGGAATAGCGGCGTAGTGCGACCCTGCGCGCGGGCGAAGCTCCCACCACGAGCCACAGCGTCTCCCCCCTTCCCCCCGCCCCCAACCCGCAGCTACTGTCAGTGACACAACTTACCCGTACGTAATACAAAAATGAGACCGACGTGATTAATTATCACTCTAAGCTAGGTGAAGCAGATATACAATACCAGTAAATAATTCTTATAATCGCTTAGATATTATAGAACAACTGATAATCGTATTTTTTTTTAAATATAAAAGACAATAAAAACCTGAGTATTGTATTGTAATGTTTAATCGACATTTTATTAAAGCGTGACTTTCTGCTTTTATTATAAATGTGAAATATCTTCATTCAAATTTATCTCTATCTTTAATAATTGCGCTACAATGTAAAAAGCATGCCAGTATTTAATCATTGAGTATTGTGCGCAGTAAGTTTAGCTCGTGTAGATCTAACGTCAATAAATTAATGGGTTTCATTAGCTTCACGATCGAGTAACAGATTCGGTGACGAACGAATAATAAACCACGTTTCTCGGTAACCGGCGCGCGCGCATGGCAACCGTTGCGCAAGGTTAGCGCGCTCAGTCGTGCGGCGCGAGCCAATGAGAGTCCGCGCTCGACGTGACGTCAGCGGCCGCGCCCGCGCGCGCCTCCGACGCCATCTTGCATCGGATGCGCGGCGTTCGGCAAAACGAGCATCGTAAAAATAAGCCGATCGAGCGAACGAGCCCACTCAACGTCGCACCCACAATCACACTGAGAGATAACACCCGGTCACATAATCGTATTGCGTCTTATTTATCCGTTAAATTATCTGTCTAACGTCATGATTGTTTACTTATTGAGCCTAATGGATGATGGAATTGTTTCGCGGTCGTTGGTCACTATAATGAAGCTAACAAAAATGAGGCTGACGCTGACGACATCATAATGACGACATGACGAGATTATATTATGTCGGACGTTACAAATAGATTACGTTGACTATATATAAAGTAGATATATTAGTATTACTCACCCATCATATTGGACATGAATTTAGACCTATCCATGGGCGGGATCCACTTGGAGGCCATGGGCAGTATAGCGGGCCAGGTGACGCCGAGTAGGAAGCCCAGCGCCACCCGCAGAGCCACGATCCAGCCGAAGCCCGCCGTCGCCGCCGCCGGGGACAGCAGCGTCAGGACGCTGGCGAGCAGTGTGCTGTATCCGAACACTCGCCTATTCGCAGAAAAGTATGAGTTAATTATAATCGTGTAGAAATAGTTAATTAAAGTAATGGCTTTTCTTGTTTCCAGCATTCTATAATCTGTAAGTATCTTTTATCTTTCCTCTTTTTACAGTATGAAAAAGCTGACAAGTTACAACCTAACGTACTGGCAGTGGTCAACTACTCACCAAACATAACTTTTAATTTTAAAAATACAGGTTTTATCACAGTAAATTTCCAGAGACAATTTAACATTAGTTGAGTTGACAATATAGAGCGAGCAGCTGGCAGTGGCACGCCAGGAATCTGTATCGGTAAACAGCCCGCATCGGAGAACATAAAAAAACGACGCTCGGCATTTCACGTATGATAGCACTCACGCCATGCCTGTACCCCGCACCAAAGTGCCGCAAACTCGATAACAACTTTATGGCACAATATATTGCAAACATCTAAGTATCCTAAGCGTTTGATCATCTATGTATGTATCATCAATAATACCAATGTATAAGTAATTCTTTACTGTTAAATGCTATTAAAAAACCGTGTCTCCTTTTTCGAAGGACGTACATTAAGAGTGTCGTGATCAATCATCTAAATTGTCGTTAACTATACAGATAACGTATCTATTCAATTAAGGAAACTTTACAATTAATTACAGTAAAAAACGACGACAACGTGTCCAATATATTTGAACCTCATGGCATCGTCCTAGATTCAAAGCTAGTCAGATATTAGTCAGCAACCAGTTGCTCTCATCGCCCACACTGGTTGCAAACAGATAAGTTATAATAACGCAATTCCAGTTTTGTAACGCCGTAGCGGTCGAGTTAATACCTACGTAAAGTATTAGTATTAGCGAATAACACGATAATCTCACGGGGTTTAACCCGAGGTCTTTTATAACATTACTTTGTTATTAGTGAAAAATTATTCATATTATCACAACACTTGATTCTTTTAATTTTTCATACAAGCTTTAAAAAAGAATTTATGAAAAATATACAAAACAGATGGTGTCATCTAAACTACGTAACTAGCACCAAAAAAAACTAAATTGAGGCATGACATAAGATTGTCAATTGCCGCTGGATACAGTCACAAGAACTAGCGTACTCGTTGACTCGCCCCGACCCTTCCATTAGCGGGCTTCTGGAAGCTTCTGCGGCGACGCCATCTTGCCTTCCCGAATCCTTAACGAATACGCGTAATTGACTAATTGACTTTTATTATAGTTACTCATCAATCATAATTAAATTTAAAGGAAGACTACAATATAACATTGGTTGTACCTTTGCAAAATTTTTGAGTGTAGCTAAACAATAGTGTCCGACTAAATACTACGTCGTCTTGTTTCATTTATATGGTCGGTGTAGATGGAGAAGATAGATTATTACCTGGCGCCGATGATTTCAGCGAGACGACCGCCCGGCAACTCTGTGAGTACGTAGCCCCAGAAGAAGCAGCCCAGCAGATGGTTCTTCTGCTTCGTGTCCCAGTGGTAGCGCGTCTGCTCTATGTGCTCCGGATGCTGCACAATATTTTACACCGTTACCCTCGAATATCTCTAGACCTTACGTAAACACAAAGTTTAGGGAGATATGTCCTCCCGATCCCAGTATTGATGAAACTTTAAGGAAACATTCTCTTTATAGCTACGAGAAAAAATATCCATAAATAGATCGCACATGTCATGGAATGATTGTCGATTACATCATACTGATAACAAACGATACTTTATGAATTGATACGAGCTATTTGTAACAAAATACGTCGCACAAATATGCCTTAATTGACCACCGACCGCGCAGATTAATCATCATATCAACAGTTATTTCAAACATGTAGTTAATTGATACACGGAGAATCAGTCGGAAGAAGACTGCGACTTCAATTCTAAATATTAAAGATCAAATTGTTGTATTATATATACAAACTAATTGCCATCTATTAGTGTCATCACAGCGCACTTTGTAACTTAATTGGTCTTGGAATTAAACGAAAAAATTGTAAAACCTTTAAAATTAGTTACATACATTAAAACCGATAACCAGTCCAGATTAGAATAATTCTCAGATGTTCTATAATTTCCGGAAATCTTAACATATAAACAAGGCTACCACTCCAATCTACATTTATCTTTCCAAATCCAGATTTCACTGGCAACTGACTGACTAGTGATGTTCACGTGTAGAACACCGGCCGACGATTATAATCTGCGCACTTTGCAGTTTGCACCAAACTATCATCTGCTATCGACATGGCTGACCTCTAGCCCCTACTACTGGAATCTCACCAGTATTAGTAATGTATTATCAATTTATTAGAATCTCTGTTTGCTATAATCCTCTACTTGTTATCGGAATGGGGATTTTATCATCAAAAGAAAATTATATGAACGGGAAAATTGTTCTATTAATTTAAAAAGAACTTTTATTTTTAAATCACTTGCATAAAATATGTAAAATTATTAATTTCAAATAACATAACGCTATGAGTTTAAAACAAGTTTTTCCATTTGTTACAGCATATGCAGAAAAATATCAAGGAAAAGATGGTGTTTCTAAAGAGCTAGTACTGTGTAATATATTCCGTTATTACAATGTGTTGCTTATCACCACTTCAACGATTTTCGCAATCTTATATAATGCAACATTGATCGGGAAACAATTGAATTTCTAGAATAAACGACAACTATGCCGGTTACTTAAATAATAGTCTTCTTCCACTGACCTCTGTATGCGCACTGACTATAAAAAGTAATATTTTGTGCCTATTTGATATTTTGCCTTCTTGGCGCTAATGGTATCGACTTGAACTATCATGTAAAATCAATAGGCACGTTTAAATCGCAATCAGTGACTTCTAGTGTAGATATGACGTGTTGGTAACGTACCTGAGTGACATTGACGTGGTCGGTGAGGTTGGTGAGGTGGGCGACGGTGGTGTGGTTGTCTGCCTCATCGTATATCATCTCGACGATGGCGATGGTCAGGTTGACGCGCAGCGCGTAGTTCAACATGAAGCCAAGCAACACCATGATGTTCAGCACTTGCACGCATGTTAGACATCCTGCAACATTATCATAGTCAAACATAGGAATTTGGAAATTTATATGATGGGATTTGGGAAGTGGACTTTACGTGTACTTTGGGGTACATATTCTCCACTGTCCTTTAAAAGTGGGCAACACATCTGCAACCTTCTAACTTATTACGGTCTTCTATGGGCAGCGTTCACATCGCTGTTGTTTTAGCGAATCAAGAGGCCGCTGGTTACAGAGTTATATTATAAATGCAACGATTTATTTAAAAATTATGAACAAATACTGATAGAATACGGAATAAACTGGTTTTCCTTATAATGTTTATCAACAATTTATACGAAAACGTGCAGTCAAAATAAATATTTTATCCGATCTTTCTTGCATGGCAAGAATTTGAGAATAGGGGTGCATGTCCAATATTACATTTGTCATCTTTTATTTGATTGCAATGGTATTTTAGATACTTGATACATCTATGTTTAATTTATAGCTTTATTTCATTGGCCTTGTGTTTCCGAGATCAAAACCTATTATATCGTAACATATCCTATTATACCTAACATATCGTTATCCCTGTCTTTGTCTTCAACAATATCAGAAATAACTATGTAGTTAAAGGGGAATTTCGGTAATCTGTGATAATGTTGCATTTTTGTGTTGTGTCATTTTATATTGTTAACAAAATTAACTTTTAAATTTATTCCCAAAAACTACAAAGTAATCCAATTTTAATGTATTACAAACCGGTATTTGTTAAAATATGCATTGATTCATCGAGACCTTAGCGATATGTTTACGATATATTTACAAGTCAAGGTTGTTGTTCGTTTTCGCGTAAAACACGTGAAATTATCATAAAGTCACGGTCTGTCGTTAGGCAAGAGACAGGTTTGCGGAGAGCAACAGTATCAACATACTGCCACATATATGTGACGAGGACGCTGGGATATAGCAGCGCTCTACCTACGCTCTTTTCTTCATATACGTATACGCAGACGATTGCGAAATTGGTAGAAACTGTATCAAGCTACATTGCCAATTTTTAAACACGTTGTTGTCAAAGTGGCTTTATTTAGAATACTTGGCGAATACAATGATTATTTACTTTAATTTGCGAAATTATTGTGAACCGGACGGTTACAGTTAATCTGCACAGATAGTTAATCCATTGTAAACAAATGATTTTATTCTTTTGTAAATACTTTTTTATAAAATAGCGATATTAAATGTCAAATTAAATTCAATTTTACAGCACTTGATTAATGAATTAAGGACAAAATAATATTTTTAAAATTGCACTATTACGGGCAGAGGAAAGTTTAATTCACAGATATAATAGTTTGGGCGATCGCGCACGCCGCGCCGCCGCGCCGCCACACGCTGAAAAAACTTGGCATCAATTGCAATAACACCGCGCAAAACACTAAAATAGAATTTATATTTTGCATTCTCCTGCATCTCGCTCTATACGATTAAACTCGCTTTCATCCACGTTCCATTATTATTGCTATTAATCTAAACGGACTTCCCAAATTCTTTATATAGCTTATTATGTTCCTCAATGTGGACAACTAAAGCATCAAACGATTGTTCTCTGACAATCTAATCTATGAAACGTCATGATTTCGTTATGTTATTTTCTCATGTACCGCAATGTCCTTTATCTTAACAATATATTTCCGCAATGCTCAATGTTCTCGGTCGTGTTATCTCTCTAGGACTGCGACATAATCTAAAACTATATGCCACAATAAACGTTTAACTGGTCATTAGCCGCTTTACTTATCAACACCGCATCAACACATCCGACAACTAACCTTGCTTTGAGATTACTTTGATTGCGCGAAAATTTGTTAAAGATTACATTGAAAACTGTTTTCCTAGAAATATTTAGTAGCATTTATCTTGTTTCAAAATAAATTGTCAGTGCTATTGAGGACAAGAGTCAACCATGAATGAATTTTAGATGATTTGTTACATCCACGCTTACGAGGACTGAACACTTTGCTTTTGCGAACTTTACATCAATTAGAATGTTCCGAAACACTTCACTGTCAGACCACCAACAGAAATAATTTCGAAATTACAATTAAATCAAGACTATACGTGACAGAAAATATAAAAAAAAACCAACAAAACTTAACAAAAGGAAACCAAAAAACGCGCGATGAAAATTCAAGACGCGAGCGACAAATTACGAGACGTGTCATGAATCAGCGGTGGTCGTGTAAGTGCGTACTGAGCACCGAACACCGAACACCGAATCAACGCAACACAACCATTAGCATCGCCTTCAATGTATGAGAGAAATCTTACATCCGTTGTAACACCGGTAAATTCCTCTGTTACATTCATTCAGTCGATACAGTCGGTCGACACAATACAATGTACCTTGTGTCATTACAATAAAAGTCATAATTGCAACATTCGAGTAACACTGCAATATGCATAAAACATTATTTAAGATTGGAAGTTGAATTATAATAAGATATTAAACACCAGTGGCCAAGATATTCAATATAAATTAATTAAAGGTGATTTCAAAGAAGATAATATTGTCAATTACTTGGTAAATATGGTATTGTTGTATTTTAAATGAACAATACGATCAAATTGCCGAGGTCCTTGTACGTGGCCTGCATATGTACAGAAGTGTGTTATCGCGTTCTCATAGCAATTTGCCGTACGCAATAAAATCCTACAATATCCGGCGTGTAACGGGGCGGGGTGGGTGCGGTCAAGGTCTACAGACGGAAGTTCGTGCAGGTGGAACGTTCCACTGTGACATTGATTAGGAAACAGATGAAAACTCAAGACGAATTGTACTACTGTTTGGTATTAAAATATCTTTTTGTATGGAATTGACAATGTTTTTTTGGCAAGTCATTTACAAAGAATTAAATAATAAATAATAAAAACTTGCAATATTATAAGAATGCGTTAATTAACTCACAAACTATATAAAATAATGTAGCTGATAATTTAATAGCAATGACCTTAGTGCCCAAATAAAACGTGTTCACAAATTATAAAGTTGGAAATATGACAATTTCCTTAAGTATTAAAAAAAGTAAATTGTTTGCGAATTTGCGCAGTGATTCAAATGGCATTCATTCATGTCCCACTATCATAGTCCTACACAAATATTTACACTTATGTTGAATTTTAATGAAAACTTTTAATGAAGTGGCTTATCCACGTTGCCCTATAACCAATACCAATATATGATCTTAATTTTTAGCCTTTAATACATACATGGATATTTTCAGATTTTGTATAAATTTAAACTAAATTCATGTTTTCATCTCGCGTATTGCTCCGTCACGACAGTCTAGACATGCGACGTTACACGAGATAAATTACAATTGATAACGTTTTCACAAGTTCCCACTACAAAAATATCTCAACAAAAACATAGTCATCCTTGTCATTTCCCTTGAAAAAATTGAGATAACAATATGTTTTCGTACTTATACTGCGTCAGCTGAATCTCAGTATTAAATCGCAAGGAATGCGACATTTGTGATTACTGTAATCCAATTTGTGTGTCTCATAATATCGTCTTATCTTAACGCCGCATACTTGTAACTGTTGTACAAACAGGCGGATTCTGTATTTAATGTCACCATCTCTTTGAATTTAAGTCCTACAAGGTTACGTAAAAGATACTTGTAAGCGATAAGTAAGCAAACTTCAATTTAATTTTTCATAGACAATGATCTCGTGCTCTATAACTTATGTATAAAAAGCAAAGATTATTTGTGTGATAGGAATAAACTCAAAAATTTATAGATAATAAAAATTAATGTCATTACAAAACAACATTATCACTGAATAACAGGCATTACTAGATTTTTTAATTTCGAGCGAACGATGTCGCGTGTTGTACTCTTATACTCTACGCAACAAAATCTCTTTTCAATAAATTACGTTCCTATATCCGTTAAATATTATAGAACGTTTATTAAGGTGATGTGAATGTGTTTATTATTTTTATGTAGAGAATAAGTACGTACTTATATACAAAGTAATTGGTAACATTTTTCAAAAAGTCACGAGTTCTGAGTTAAACAATGGTCACATTAACTATGTAAATAACGATAACTAATCTGAGGACATTTATCTAAATACGTATGTATATAAGAAGAGTATATATTAAGATAATACAGAAAAGATTAATGTTGTCTGTAGATGAAAGATATAAAATAATTATTTTGCTGTCGTTCAACAATTTAGCAAACAAGCACAGATTACCTCTGTAGCATGTAAACTATTTTAGATAGTTATTTATTTATAAATGTTTAGTATATTATGTATCCTAATGGTGTTTATATTGCGATTAATCGCCGCAGCGGTTCTTCCGCGTTGGATAGTAACTAAATAATGGTAACCGATGATCGCAGATAATAAATATTTATCTAATGATATGGTGTACTATGAAATTAATTTGAACTACAAACAGCGATAGCAGATTTGTGTAAGGATAAAGAATAAAAAATAAACTGGTGAAAATTGTCTTAGAGCTAAGAGTCAGGCACTGCTGCAATAAGCTTTGATAAATAGCTTGAAAATAATACTTATTTGTAAAATGTTTACTGAGATTAGTAATTTAAAAAAAGAGAATGTTGTCAGAGACATGTTCACGCCGGCGGCTACTCTTGCATCATAAGTAAACATATTGATTAGTTCATTCATTTACTTAAGAAGCCGGCAGTCGCACAGGGCAGGTTACCGTTAGACGTTTAACAGCTCGCCGGACACCGGCCAGTTAGCATGCACTTTAACCGCGACGCTCGAACTTAACAGTTAACTGAACGACGTATTGTTTGCCAGTTTGATGAAGGGCCTGTTCTCGCAAGACCACATTACGACACAAACACCGCTGATTAGCGGAAACCTCAGGAATTCAGTAAAACAACTAATACTTGTGTTTAACTACACTTATGATTAACCCGTTTGATGTTCCTATGGCATTACAACCATTTTAATTATGTGTTGAATTATAGATATACTTAAAAGTGTCAAATATAAATCAATGGAACCTAGTACACACAACAACTTTAGGAAAAGCTGACAAAAAAGTTTTCATTTCTTATTCAAACTAGAAGTTTTACAAATAAGTATGGTATGTTTACGACAAGTAAATTAATTTAATAGTAATCAAGGGAATTCTTGGAGCGGCGCTTGGCGGATAAGGAATGTCGGGTGCCAGGTTAACTCAAGTTAATTTCTTGCGCAAAAAAATACGCGGCGCCGCCTTCATGCATTAATCTACAATTAAAACGCTTGACTGGGGTGACCAACCGCTTATTATCTTTGTATTCATATCTGTACTTATTGCGAAAAGCTGACGATAGAATGTTGTTTTACAATTAAACGTTGTAAATTTCTATTTCCGTAAAGCCTATTAAGCATTTTATATTTATTTTTTGTGATTTTGCGGGAAGGAAAACCACCTGCAAAAAATGCCGTCTATTTCAGAACCTATTTTAACTGAAGGTTGCATTGTTTTATTTATTGTAATTACTATTGGAAGAATCATAAAAACTATGTTTCCACAAAAAATAAGAAAAGCTGCTTTCAAGTTTATCCTGTAAAAGTGTAGCCACTCTAGCTTCGATAGGCGCGTTTACTACACCCTTAGAATATTTAAACGCACCTTGTAGATAAGAGGCGGTGATTTCTATCGCACTTTCTCCACAAGCGAGCGCAATCACTTAGATAACGTTAACTGTTGCGCTCAGCTCGTGAGAAGACGCCTCTTTATACACCTAGTTACACTCACAAATGTCCAATTACTAATCATTATAAAACGTCCATTGATGAAGATTTAGATTTTTTTTTAAATAAATGCAATGGAATTGCGTGTCGCCTTTTGTTAGTTATTTGACTCCCATTATAATTAAATGCCTAGTCTTGTAATCAACAATGTTAAACATAGTATTTCAAAGTGTATGAAAACCTGTTTCAATTATCTTTCACATGACCACTTACGTTACAATTAATTATACTCACCATCTGTCATATAGTTTAAAAAAAAGTTAGTGTTGTCTATTATCTATTGATCTAGAACAATATCTGATGAACTATTTTACTCTAGCATTAATTAAAAGTAGGTAAAAAGCAAGATTGACAGTCGGAATATTGTCAGTACATCAACAAGAAAATAATATCTAACTAGCGGATGTCCGCGACATCGTCCGTGCGGAGCTAAAAAGGTTGCCTAAGATACTTTCGACAAGACATACAGAAACTCCAATTATAAAAATTGTATAGATTAAAAGTATGAATTAGGCGTAGCATAAGTGTTATAGTCTTAATTAATTGCATGATTGACTGACAGTGCCGAGAAGGCGACGATGTCAGTTTCAATTTGCAAATGACAGATTTGTCATGCTTTTTTTTTATGATAATAGCATTAATTAACTAGATCGAAGTATAGGATTAGTATTTGTTCTTAATAAGAAAGAGGTCACTGATCAATTTTGAAAACGTTTTGACGTATTGGTGTTAGATTTTTTTAAACAAACGATCAAATGACCATGAACTTTCTACAATAGCAGAAGACTTGTTTGTTGATGTGAATCCGAGCCCGGCGGTCTGCGGATGAAGACGATGTTATGTGATGTAAACAATGAAGTGACCTTTCCAGAACATTCTGCAGATGTTATTGATACCAATCCATGAAAATTAAATCTTTTCTGCAAAAGATTATATAGGAAAGCGATTTTAAAATGTCGATGCTTTCATCCGTAACTCAAATGGTAAAATAACAAATCAAATTCTTTCTTTGAATTCTATAATCGAAAAAAAAATGGTTTTAACTGTATAAAACTTGTTTTCTGTTAAAATAGCAATTTTGCAAACTAAATATCGCCTCGACCTCAAATATATTTGACGAAATTTATCTAAAACAATATGTATAATAATATTTACTGAACTAATAAAGATGTTTACATTGAAAGATTTTCTACCACTAAGCACTGGTTATTTGAAATACTGTGAATGTTTGGAGAGGACTGTTCCAGTAGTTGTTACGTCACGTTACGCGATATTAATAACATTTCGCTAAAGGATAATTGTCACTTTACACAATAAAGCTAGGCCTCTGCACAATTTAGGACAATATACAATTGACGTGATAGTTCCTATGGCAGAATATGGAAAAATACTTATAAAAAAGTAAATATTTTGAATGCTGTTACATCAAATAAGTAAGTTGTCTCCAAAACGAATCAATGCATCAAGAATTATCAAGGCATAAAATGTGTGTGTGTATTACAGTAACCGCCAGTATCTACTTCAATTGATATGAAATTAAAGGCGCAAGAAATATGACGTTAAAAACGATAGCACCGGAAGTTAGATTAGACACGAGATGTTTGCATGTTGGCCAACGGCCAGGTGACGTCACGGCGCGCACTGTGTTGCCAACTTACAATAACTTTATAGGCTCGACTTGGCAACAGATGGTTTTCGGAACGCATGCGGCTTATGTGATACTTTAAGCACATCAATATTGAAAACTCATTTGTTATATTTGGCGGCAAATAACGAAACTCACCTGTAAAGTTTCTTGCAAATGACTTCTCAGTTTTAGCCATGACTTTGGAATGCTTTTATAAATCTGAAAAGAAAAAAGTACTATGAGTATAAAGTAGTAACTGAAGAAAGCAAACCTAATACGTATTTGTAATTATATATTTGGCAAAATAGAATATGATCAGAATTGCAATCTTTGATTGACTGATCCTAATTAGAGATGAACAAAAAATATTTTTACGCTAATGTAGGCCGCCAATTACCCTACCTGTTGATGTATGTCGGTCAATCGTTACATGTCGATGGATGGCGGCGAGCCGCTCCGTGGCGACATGGCGGCCGTCGCGAATTTAAGTAGACCGTTAATCTGACAGAGGAAAGGAGAGGAGACGCGGAGACGCGGCGCCGGCGCCAAATAACGGGACCTTCCCGCGCAAATTCAATCGCTAGTGATGCGAATACGTTGAGAAAAACGAGATCTTATCGATAACGTTCGACATAGTTTATGGTCGGTTTGTAACCAACACATTTCAAGAGAAAGTTCAGCTGGGCTGCAAACAGACATGTGCCTATAGCCTAATGGATTGACCCGCGGTAAATAGAATAGGCAAATGTTTTGCAGGCCAGTATTGAACTATCGTATAGATTTGGAGTGAGCATTAGTGAACAATTGTGTACAAACAAAAGGACATAATCAAAATAAACAAAAACTATGTATAACATCATTGTATGAATGAAATAATTTATGAAGCATGAAAATTTTGAAAATATACATGTATAAGGGTCGTGGGATTAGGTAGAATACGGATTACCGCGACTGTTTTCTGCTGATTACCATTAGTTCCACTCTATTTTCCAGACGTTTCTATAAGCATATATAAAATTTCTTCGCACGTCTTTCATAGGAATGAGATACGCACTACAATTTGCAGCTCGCAAAATCTATTTCGGTGGGTCGCCTCAAGGTCACGGAATACGTCAAACAATGTTAGTACATCGATTTTATTGGATATACGGCAAGTCTGTTGTCTTGTCCATGCCTGTACAAACATCGGGGCCGCTATTAAAGAAATTGTTAATTGCCAAATTCGCTATTTATAAATTACATTTACCCTAGTTATTTTAGTATGCACCAATCTAATTAGTTTACACGTTAAACACGATGAAGAAAATGATTTTTGTCTGTTATAAACCATTAATAACAAAAAAAACTAATCTAATTAAATTAAGTAGTTCGAGAGTATTTTGGTCATTTGACACTGAATAGGCATAGATTCTGAAACATCTCATGAGAGATACTTCCATAAGGTATCGTTTATTTTTCCTACATTTGCCATATGTACATACTGTGTGTATTTACTTTGAACAAAAATAATTGTATATTTAACGAAATTCATAACCACAACTATGACCCCGTAGGGTTGACGAACCCTTGCGTGTCGACTCAAAGATTCAAAGAATTTCCATTTAATTTGAAAGTTAACTATGCAGTTGGATAAACAATATATCCACAAAAAGATCTGCACAAATAAACATAAAATATGGTATCGAGCTTGTACGATTTTACCGCCAATCGGGGAAAACGATTAGTTTCGTTAAAGAAATAAACTGTAATAATACGCATTCCTGCAAATTCTTGTTCCGCATTCCGCTGATGTACTTATTGGAAACTAAATAAACGATTTTATTTATTTCTTAAAATTAAATCTGTTCCCATTTTCCAGTACAATATTTTATCGTCAAAAACAAAAGGTGTTGTTCGAGTGAAGTGCGTTATGTTAATATAATTAAATGCACATGTATTGTAAATTGTCAGTCTGCTCGACCCGACTTTTGACAGGGAACGGTTACATACATTAATGTAACTAGTGCTAATTTAACTAAACCTCCTAAATACCTAACTCTGTCATTTTCGGTGATAAATTATAGAATTAATGTTACAAACATGACCTAGCTAATTTTAATATAAAAAAAACATAAACACTTGATTTAGGAAACAACCTATATGAAATTTAGAAAAATGGTACCATTTTATTTTATTATTTCCTACTACATTCTACTATTTCCCTACATTCTACTATTTCCAGTCTTATAGACTATAATTTATTTCCCAAATAACCTAATTCATCTTTGGTTTTTATAATACGAGTAAAAATCAAGCTCATTAAAGAATGATAGGATTTCAGGATTTTTATACATACCAAATTAGACATTAGAGAATAATATACACTTGTAATTTTTTGTTAAAAAATAATAATATATGTATTTATTTATAATTTACATTCCTTACCTTATAATAACACTTAAAGTAATAAATAATACACTAAATGACTGAAACACTGGCGATGGAATAGGCACTAAGTATGTGACAACTTAAATATTATATTATTTAAAATAAAAATTATTAAATATACTTTTTAAAAACTAATATGACACGAAAGTTCTCGAGCCGAGAAGTAAGCACACACCCTACACCGGCAAGCGCAGAAACCCGACTGATGTGACGAGCGCGACCTCATGCGGTTTAGGTGAAGCGAACGCTCAAAATACCTAAGTAATTTTATTATTTTATTCAAACACATTCATTTTTTGTTTCAGATAAAAATTTTGTTACAAAAAAATTTTTGTAGTAAAGTTTAATGTTAAATAGATTAGAAAATCGTAATCAGGATGTATAATAAAATTCCATCCTACATGGCAACATTTGAAATAATCTGCAATTTAATTGGCTCACGCAAAGTACCCTACTTTTCAGTTGAAATAAAATTAAAAAAGAATTAGTACAATACTAGTATTACATAACAATTCAAAATAATAAATTATTATACTAATTACATATTTGTGTCTGGTTTTATTGTAATAGGAAACACGATTTAACACTATTCTATGATTTAAATAAATGAACGGAGTAATTTCAATGTATGGTAATTGAATTTAAAACTACCTTCATATTCAGAGTGCTGAGCAATAGTATTGTCAAAATTTATTTCACTGTGACCAAGCAATACGTAACAATACGTACCGGGTATCAACTTTCAATATCTAACTTAAATCTTTTTTTTAGATAAATTAGGAAACTATGAATCTTATTAGACAAATTAATTAAGTGTTAACTGTTCGTAGTGCATAAATATAATATAATTATTTGAATAATTAAAATGGCGACAACGAACTTTTTATCCGTTAAAACTCATTTATCTGATTTTAAAAGTAATGCGGACAAAGATGCAATGAGCGAGGTAAGCAATTATTATTCATCATGCTCTAGACATCTAGATCCAACATCACGACTTACGCATTTTATCATACTTTGCCGCCATTTTTGATATAAGTTTCATTGATAATTTCTTGCATCCTCGTGTTGTCTAAACACTTCTTAGTTGTACTTTCAAGAGCTATTCTAACGCTCTACTATTATTCCAATCCTGATCAATGTAAACTCTGATAGGTTACATCCACCCACGAGGCCAAACTTGTAGGGAACTACATTTTTGTTCCTGCCTAGTACAGCTAGATAACTTACCAATCTAATAAACCTTTCAATGTATTGTGCCAAAATAGGTATCGGAAAGTGGTACGAGCAATTCCGTCGCATCAGCAGAAGATGTACAAAAATTGGCAGTGATACTCGGTATAAGCAACATTGAAGATGTCTATCAAGAAAAGTTTCGCGTGGACAGGCGTCGACTGGAAGGAATGCTGGCAGGTACTTATATTTACATTATATCCTTCAGATTTAATTAAACATTAATGATGGTTTGTTCTTAAATATTTTTTATTTATTTCAGAAAATTTGGAGGAATCACAAACGGCTCAAGCTTTTTTTCATCGGGTAAGTATAATATAATCTAATTTTGATTATTTTATTATTACATAGGTAAATCAAGACAGCTATAAATTTAAATACGATTTGAATTAATGTTTCAGATAATGAGCGAAACAAACACTTTAATAAACTGGCCGGCTCGATTAAAAATTGGAGCGAGATCAAAGAAAGGTAGGTATTCCATTCCAATCATATTCTAGTTAAAAAAGAACTGTATTTAAAACCGTTAAAATATTGATTTGTCAATTACAATTACATATTTTAAAAGGATTTCAACAAAAAACATAATTAAATTCCAAGTATCCGTTATCTTTATTTTATGAAATCTAAAAGAGAAACATTTATTTTAATATAAATCAATACAAAGTTTATTTGTAATCAATAAAATGTTCTGTTATTCAATATTTAGTGTAATGGATTTACTCGCGTAAATGCCATCGTCCTATTTCTATGCAGAAAAAAAACTATTTAATCGAGTTATAATTTTAAACGCATTTAAAATAAATAAAAACTGTTTAAAAATTATAAAATTATATTGATAAAATTAAAAATATTCATATAACCACCAGCAACGAAATTATTTACAAAATTTTTGACAAAACGTCATTTCAAATTTTCGAACGAACAACGTTTATTTGTTCATTTTTGATTTTGAATATTTTGGCGGGCTGCACCGAATAGAGCGAGCGATACCGGCACGCCACGGCTGGCGCCAACCTGGCGGGCGTCGCTATTCATTTTAAATTTTTTTCATAATGCGTGTTGTCAGTTTTACCTTAAGTATTAGTTTATGCAGTTAATAAATGAAATCAATATGATTGTTTACGAAAAATGTGATGAATTATTGTATCAAAAGATTTTTGAAATTAGATGTAAAAGGTTTAGGGATTTTTTATTTCAATTAGGTACGTTATTTTTTTTAATTTAAAATATTTTTTTAGTTCATTTTAAAATAATAAATTTGTCTTGTTTTTATGTTATTTTTGAAGTTTTAGTACATTTAATTTTAAATTGCGTGATTAGATCCTCATGTACGTATTGCCGGAAGAGCCGATGATGTGAAACGAGCCCGGGAGAAGATTATGCAAGTTTTGGACACCAGGGTAAGTACACAATTATTTGAGACATGATAGAATAATGCATAATTATTTTACTTCGAATATTATTTATCGGCTGTATCAGATTAAATATACATATAATAGTACTAGGTACGCAAATATACGGAGGGATAGCATAGCACCCCTCTCAGTTGCCGGAGAGTGGCTGTAGTATGATGGTGCAAGCTCACAGCGGACTTGTGCAGATGCATTGATATTGCACTCAGTGATTAGGTGATATGCCTTTTAATTACAGTAAGGTAACGCTAACATCCCATGAAGACTTGAGACGTACCACTTTCATTCTTATATGTTAAGGTCGGAGCGATCGCGTCGTTGTAAAAATAAATTAATAATTAAAGGATTATTTCATTTTATAGAAGAGTATGATCATGGTCATAAGTAATATGCATATTTATTATAATGTTGTTCCAGAGCAACCGGGTCACAATGAAGATTGACGTTAGCTACACGGACCACTCGCATATCATTGGCAAGGTAAACAATTCACTTAATACCCCTTTTAGAGATATGACTTTATTTGTGTTTAACACCAAGATTTTTTTTAAAAGCTCTTCATCTATTATCAAAGTTTCTCTCAAATAAATCAACGAGAGTCTATAATAATCTTTTTTAGATCAAGGCTATATTTTTGAGCAATTGTATACATACAAAGTAATAAACAGAGATAATACGTGTTAGTTTTAGTGCTCAAATAAACACGTGTGTCTTGTATGTCACATTTGAATACCTTAAATTATACCATCTCTTTGCATATTTTTAGTATTAAAAATAAAACACTAGCACTAAATAAGCACTAAAAAAAACTTTAGCTTAGCGTTCTTCTTGACTATGTCCATCTGATTCAAATTACTTCGAGATTTGGTAGGTCGTTTTGAAGATATACCTTCTCACGAACATCCATCCATCCATGCAAACATTCGCATATATAATATGAGTAAGATTAGAAAGATTTTATTTAAGGGAAATAACCAAAGGTAAAATTTTTGGAACAATCATTAGAGATTTTTCAACAAAATTGTACTCATTATTTTTATTTTAAATCAATTTTACTATACTTACCAGTTTACGAATGGTTAGTTTAGCATGTAAATGTCGGCAGTCGGCAACTTACCATATAGTAAATGGAAAAAATACTGTACCGACAGATTCATATGTCTCCCGTACCTACCGTTGTACAAAGAATCCGTCCTAATGACTTGACATCATTTAACAAATTGCTCTGTTCTGAGATTAGTTCATATGGTGAAGGTGGTGCAAGCAATGTGTGTGTGTGTGTGTGCAGGGCGGACTGACAATAAAGCGCGTGATGGAGGACACGGGCTGCCACATCCACTTCCCGGACTCGAACCGCACCAGCGCGACTGAGAAGAGCAACCAGGTGTCGATAGCGGGCGACATGGAGCGCGTGGAGCGAGCCCGCGCCCGCGTGCGCGCCCTCACACCGCTCGTCTTCAGCTTCGAGCTGCCCATCGCCGGCGCCGCGCAGCCGCTGCCCGACCTCTCCTCGCCCTACGTGCAGCAGCTGCAGGACCAGTACAACGTCCAGGTCCACTCCACACCTTCCCTCTTACTGAATACTGATACCTTTGTGCTATAAAACAGATAAGCCTGAGAATTTGGAGCCTGAGTATTAAGTTCTTTTAACTTGTCTAATTAGCAAATTTTTCATTAATTTATTTTCAAAACAAAATCAAATAGGCGCTACAATTTGTACGTATCAATACAGGTGATGGTGCGCAACCGCTCCAAGCTACACGCCAACATGATGGTGGTGAAGGGGGTGCAGTGGGAGGTGCAGGCCACCATGGAGGCCACCGGTCTCCTCATGAACTACATGTGCGGGCCCCTCGCCGTGAGTACCCGCCCCCGTCTACTTACACATTCCTCGTACAAGGCCACACTTAGACAAATGACTTAGGTTTGTGGTGTGTCAGAGCCAGACGCAGGTGCACATGAGCCTGGAGATCTCCCCGGCGCACCACGGCGCGGTGGTGGGGCGCGGCGCGGAGCAGCTGAAGCTGATCATGCGCGGCACCGGCACGCAGATCATGTTCCCCGACGCCGCGGACCCCAACATCCCCGCGCTGCGCAAGAGCTGCGTCACCATCACCGGCCACATGAAGGACGTCTACGCCGCGCGACAGCAGCTCGTGGTACACACATACATACATACATACACATACACTCGTATGTCTCTATACATCTTACTCTAAACTTGAGCTCGCACCTCTGCTACGTGAACAGGGCAGCCTGCCGCTGGTGGTGATCTTCGACATGCCGGCGGAGGGCGGGGCGCGGCTGGACGAGGAGGCGGTCGGCCAGCTGATGCAGAAGCACAACGTGTTCATCAGCGTGCGCCACAAGCCCAAGCAGGGCATCGCCTCCGTCATCATCAAGGGCATCGAGCGTTGCGCCAGTATGTACCCTTACCTCTTTGCTCCTCTGCTAGGTTACGCATACAATTTTACAATAGCATAGGTAAGTTTAATTACTTTTAGATGTAATCGTATTTAATGTACCAGACGACATCTACGAGGCGCGGCGCGAGCTGCTGGGCGGTAAGGAGCCGGTCATCACGGCGGAGATCCCCGAGTCGTACAACATCCCGGTCCCCACCGGCGCCATCCCCAACTTCGGCGTCTACAACCCCTTCTCTGTGGGCGCCTCGCCCTGCTCGCCCTACGGCCTGCAGCTGGAGCTGGGCCTGGCCAGCCCCATGGGCGCCCTGGGCGGCGCTCTGTCGCCCGTCAGCCCGCCCGCGCTGCCGCCCTGGCTGGTCTCGCCGCAGCACCACGCGCCTCTGCACCTGCAGCCCTTGCCGCAGCACAACAACACGCCCCTCGTCTACAAGAACTCGCCTAACTCCTGGAACTGTACGTCTCTCTCTACCTAATATCGCTTGTTGTATATTGTTTGAACGTTTGAACACGGTACCACTTGTCGGCAGCCATGTGCGCGGGCGCAGACATGGCCGGCATGCAGCAGCAGATGCTGCAGCCCTACCACCAGATGCCGGACGCGAGGCCCGTGAGTAAATCACATCTATTCTTAATATGTAAATATTAAATAAAAACTAAATGAGGAACACCGAAGATTATCAGCCGCTATCTATTCTAAACCCTTCGTAATACATTTGTATTAATGCGTTCTTGTTGTTAACAGATAACCCTGAACCAGTTGCTGAACTGCAGCTCGCAGGCGAGCAGCGGCTACCAGAGCAACTTCACCGGCAGCTCCGTCTCCCTCGACGTCAACAACACATCCGGTCGGCTCTCGCCCGCACCACACCAATACTGCTATCAATCAAAACTATAAATAACTTGTGTCTGTGTGTGTGTGTGTTTGTGTGCAGGCGGAGAGGCGAGCAACGTGGCGTCGCCGTCGGTGTCGCCCATCAGCGCCCACAGCCCCGCGCCCTCCGCCGCCTCCGTACCCTCCGCCTCCGCAGACAACGAGCGCAACCACAATGGTACCTCCTCACTCCTAACATCAGGATATGAGCGCGATGTATCCGTTGGTATCAGTACATAGTGTATGTGTGTGTGCAGAGCTGGCGAGCCTCATCTCCGGCATGCCGCTGTCGGCGCGTCGCGCGGTGGGCTGCGAGAAAAAGACACTGCAGACGCTGGCCAGGCTCTCCCCCCTCATGGACTACCAGGCCAAGCGCGCAGAGGCCGAGAAGGTGGGACATGATGACCTCTGCGACCTCTAGCCCTCACGTACATAACTCTCACCAACCTATGTAATACGGTGTGCGTGCAGGCGATGCGCGAGTCGGTGAGCGGCGGATACCGCGTGCCGACTGCGCACTGGGCCGGCAACTACTTCAGCAAGACATCGCCCGGCGTCCTCACCAACAACGCCAACGGCGAAAACAACACTACGGTAACATTTATTACATTTAAACTTTAAAATTGATCAGAATGGACAATTTACATGCTATTTTAAGTTTCGATATCTTTGGGCGTTCCCCGCTTTTAATAACATACATTTTATTATTGAACGCGTTTAGCCTGAGAAGGGTTGGAACAGATCGGAGCTGGTGCGGCCCAACATCGTGGAGATGGTGACACCGCCGAAGAGCGCGCAGTGTGCCGCAACCCCCGCACCCCTCGCGCCCCTCGCGCCCCAGGAGCCCTCCCCGCAGCCCGCGCCGGCCAAGCTGTGTCGCTACCAGCAGCTGTACGAGCTGCTGCGAGACATCGGACTATACAAATACGTCGGTCAGTGGCAACGTCTCCGCAATACAACTGAACGCTCCACAAGCTTCATTCAGTTCAGCCTGTCGTTACATGTATGATGATGATGATGATGATGAGTATAGTATTTTGATAAGTAACTATTTGTGTGTTATCTGCGTTTGTAGATCTGTTCAAAAAGCACGAGCTGGACATGTCGACGTTCGCGTCGCTGAACGAGGCCGACCTCGTCGAGATAGGAGTCACCGCCTTCGGCGCCCGCAGGAAGATGCTGCTGACCATCGCCGGTACCGCTCCACATTACCTACCTACCACTCGATCGGAGCTTCAAGTTTTCTGTTTGAAATATAACTTGTTATGAACTTTGTCAGAGCTGCAAAAGCAAGCGGCGGCGTTCAAGAGCGGGGCGACTCCTGGCGGCGCTGGCAGCGGCGAGCGGCAGCTGGTGCACTCGCCGCAGTACGACCTGCAGCCGCTGCAAGACAACTGGTAACACACCGTCGCTTGCCGACGATCACCTCGCATTGAACGCACGTTCGATGCGAAATATTAAATCAACCTCTAAGCAATTTCATGACCAAAAAATTATAAAATGCATCTAGTGTTGCCATATAAATGGCATAAAATTGATCATTTCTCTTTCTTTGATTTGGTGTTTTTTTTTTAAATAAAATTTGTAAACGTTCCAGAATGATGTTGACCGTTATGTATGTTATGTATGTACCTATGTAATGTATTGATAGGCAATATGAATGTAACGATTGCAAGGTCACCTCTTGATTGCTACTCTAATTGTAATACGTATTATAACGAGGCTGGAGAGTGACCTGCAGCGGGCACGTGCTCACTTCACAAATTGTATAAATTGTATGAGCAAGGAAGCGGATCATCTTGCCCTTTTTTGTTTAAAAGAAGTTGATCGAATTGTTTACGGTTTTAATTTGTGAGACAATGGCATGGAATGCTCCCCGGCCGCCATTGTCACGCCACTTTATTGTAACTTTGTTTAATTCTTAAGAGATTTTATAATATAAGTTTACGTATTTTAAATGTTTGTGATAGCTGAAAGCGTTGCGACGATTTGATCCTCAACGTAGACTCGTAGACTCGTAGAATTGTTGAAGTAAACGGGCTTAGAGCCTCCCTGTTAATTTTAAGTTTTTAATTTTATTTTCGATAAATTTTAGAGCATGTTTTATTTTTTGATTATAATATATATTTTAGTGGTATCCCAGCATATGGAGATGCCATTTTAACTGATTATTGCCTTAGCGATTTTTAATATTTGATTATTGAGCCGAATTCAAGTTTTGTCGTATTTTTACAACTTTTATCGATTTCAGACCAATGTAAACATCACTTTTGATTTCATATTTGATAGAATATGATATTCAAAGAGACGTAGGCATTGGCAGTGACCAATGATCGACATATCTAAATATTGTAGACATTCGGACGGCATATGAGAACATTTTTGACTTTGTATTAAACTAAGACTAGAATCGAATCATCACGATGAAATCAGCGGAGAGGGCGTGCTGACGTCACACGCGCGGGCGCCGGCGCCGGCACCGACACTTCGCCTCATCAATATTTTAATCAAAAACATTTTTTACATATACAATGATCATTTCTTGTGTCTGTGTGCATTACGTGTTTACTTTTTCTTTTTACTAGTATATGCATTTTGATTTTTAACCATATTAACATACTAATTTAAAATAAATGTTGTGTCGTTTACAGCTGCGTTTTTAATATGTTTCACTTTCGGCAGTAAGCGATTGGTACGTAATTGATGCGAATCTATTGAAGTATTACAGTACATCGACAGCGAGCACCATGCACCATGCATCATGCACCATGCATCATGCACCATGCATCATGCATCATGCATCATGCACCATGCAATTATGTATCAATTCATTTACAATGTCATCAATCAGTAATTTAACTTTTAAATATTATTATTTTTTAATCATGAACACGATTTATATTTTGAACGGTTTTTACATTTTGATTATGAGATGTTAAGCGTATCGCTTCTGAGTGATTATGATATATTAATTGTGTACTTGAGCAATAAGATCACAAGGATGAGTTGAACGTCATATGCATTTCATAAGTTTTTACATTTTAAGGATCAAGATAACATTTGCATGATTTTTATAACTTTCGTTTGTATGATTAAAGTGTGCAGAAAACTCAACATTTGTTTTATTTTCTACATTTTCCAACCTTCCTTTTACTAAATATGTACATTATGAAAACGACCACTAACCTTTACAAAGAAAACAGAAGAAAAGAATGAGCCTCGGCCATGGTCAGGTCAAATAAAATAACTAGATCGATTATCAAACAATTATTTTGACTATCGTTAAAATAATTCAAGAAAAAAATGTTTATTTTTTTTCTTGACTGTTAACTTTCTTTCGTTCGGAAACATTTTTTTTTAATTTATGGTAATATATACTCTATCAAAGCACTTGTCAGTGTCACATGTCTTGTAAATGTCAAAGTCAGACAATCAGTTTTAGCGAAAAATTGTAATTGGTTTTTCATTTAATATTCAAACAATATAATGGGAAACGCAAGTGCAAAGGCGGTGGAAGCGAAAGCTGTGGATATAGCGGCACCATCTAACACCGAAAAGCCCAAATTAAAACCCTGCTGTGCGTGCCCCGAAACGAAGAGAGCGCGAGATGCTTGGTAAGGTTATGTTTTATTACAGATGTATTGCGCAATATCTAACACAACATTTTAATAAAAGATAAGAAACAATCATACACGACATAACTATCTTTTGTAATCTACAGTATGTGTGTGCAAATGCACTGTTTAACCAGGTAACTAAGATGAAAATAAAAAAGCGACACTTAATTTCTCTCTTATTATGTAGTAAATCATGATCCAGATGTTTATTAGCTCTTTCTGTTAACTACTAATAACATTCCAGTTTGTTTTATTCCTGATTGCCAACTTGCAATGTGCTCTTGAGTTAATTAAACAAAAATGAGTTTGAATAAAACTATTCTGTTTATTTTCAGCATAATTGAGAATGGTGAAGAAAACTGTGGTCCATTAATAGAAGAACATAAAGCCTGTATGAGGAAAATGGGTTTCAACATTTAGATGTAGTTTGATTTAACATGTTTGGAATATTTTGTGTTACAGACTGGAATAGTACCACAAGTGATCACAATATGGTTCTTTATTGTTTTTAACAACTCTTTAGTACATTAAAATGTCATATAATATGACATATAATATGTTGCGCCATCATACATTTTTGCCATAACATCAATCTTTTTACATTAACTAATTTCTTCACTTTGAGGAAAATATAATTTTTGTTTTTCACTATGATTCAAATGGCAGCGGTAAATTTTTGTACTTGTATTAAAATTTAAATTAAATGTAGCAACTAACTAAAACCATTAATATTATTACTGTACTAACAATAACACTAGCAATTATTTCATCTTAAATTGTCAATAGTTAAAGATGTAGTTATAAAATTTATCCAAAGAGAAATTTTTGTGAACCTTATCTCACATAACATTGTAAAGAAACTTACATTTGTTTAGAATATATTTTTAAGTTATTTATTTCATTAGGTATAATTTATGTAAATATAAATAAATTGTTTTGAGCAGTTACTATTTTAATTTCTAAGTCCTTATGGCATGTTCCCAATACAAATTATAGTACAAGCTGACAGTGGTCAGCGGAGACAAGACAAAGCCACAGAGCTAAATTATTATTTTACTAGCTATCGCTTGCATCTCCGTCCGTTCCATTTAAATAAAAACATAATTAGTAGCCTATGTGTTCTTATAGACTGTTCCACATGTATGCCAAATTACAACGAGATTTGTGCTGAAGATACCATCATCCAGTCATCCATCCATCTAAACATTCGCATTTATAATAATAGTAAGATTTAAACTTTTTAACACAAGGTGACACTGCCCCCTATCGGCACTTTCTGAAAATATAAATGGAACATGAGATAAACGTCTTTTGCAGTTTGGATTACAGTGGCGCCATCTATTATGCAACTTTTTGAATACTCAGCTGTAGCATAAAGTTGAGCAAACAGAGCAAATATTAATTTGTACATCTTTCGCTAATATGTCAAGCTTGTTTAATTTGAATCATTATCATAATGATAGCCTAATTTAGTTTTATCTGAGATCAGAGGCATTGACCTTATTGTCTGAGAACGAGTATGTTATTAATAGCAGTTGTAAGTTAGAAATAAAGGAAACGTATCTATCTCCATAAAATACATAAATCTACAATAAATATAAACAATTGCAAAATGGTGTAGCTTGTCTAAATGTGTGTAACATTAACATAATATTCAGAATACTAAAAAAAAATATTTTTTAACTTACTGAATTTTGTCGCAGAAATGCAATTTGGTGGTATGCTGTTGACAAATGCGAGAAACATTTAACATTGGAAATTGGACATTGATCAAAATAATCTAGGACATCAATATCTGTAAAATAACTGATATTTAGCAATAAACTATAAATAAATATGTAATCGTTGGTGGAAATGCGAAATAGTCATCAACTTATAGCCCACTATTCATAGGGTCTAGGCTGGTCATAGGTCATAGTCAACCACGCTGATAGTCATCGCAGTGCGGGTTGACTTTACAAATATCGTTGAATTATTTCGCCGGTATTTGCAAGTTGCATCACGATGTTTTCCTTTGCCATAAGTACGAAAATCGGAAAACATATTGGTATATCGCGGGGATCAAATTCGAATCTATATATTACAGTCCGGTCCGGATAGGTGCTTAACAACTATGACATCGTTCACGGAAAGGTTAATAATTCATATTAATTTAAAGGCTGGAGAAATAATATCACAGTTTAAGTTTACATTAAAATCGTTCACAACATAATTAAGTTTTGTCTGTTTATCTTAACGTATAAAAATAGTTTTGAAGTGATAACATAGTATAAGGAACTGGGCTCTCCGGTTGCCCCCCACGACAACAATCTGTGGATTTTACGCGTCGATTAGAGTTCAAACAATATACGTGACCATCAGCCGTCAGTACATGTCGCAGTTAAATTAACACGTATTTAGTCAAAATATAATACTGACTAGATCTGTCTAAAGATTAAATAGTCATTTATTTCTTCAATTAGTTATAGTTTACGACTTTGCATTGATTTCAAAGTATTAAAAAGTAAAATTACATTAATTGAATAAAAATAATGCTCTCACGTGCAGACTTCTACATAAATCTGGTTAAGTAATAATTTGGGAGCCGACAGAGTCCCTTGTCCATCCATCAATATGCCTCTAAGAGCTTTATCCAGGAAGAACAGATGGAATTACAGATACACATTAAGAAATGTTTGAGTTTCTGACTCATTATTAGACATTTAATACATTGACCAGTTTGTCCAATTCCCGCAACATGAATTCGCGAGATGCGTAAATCATTGTTATAGTTTTCTGATTAACGTAAACAATACTATAATTAAGTGAGCATTACTTTATCAGCTCAAACGCAGTCTGCCGGCGCACCACACCGCGTCTTTGTCATCTGGTTGCGTGTTCGTCCACGTGGTTGCTGTACCTTGGTGCATAATGCGGCTGGTGCGAGGAGTCCGGGGCGGGGGCGAGGAGTCCGCACCCAGCTCTTGGCAATCAAATTCTAGCTATGGGTAAGTTAACCCTTAGTTCTGCTACACTCATTACTCACCATCATTATGTTGACCTTCGGGAGATATTATACTTGCAGTGCTTTGCTTTAAGAGTGCGGTGTAAGAGTCTGAGGCCACCCAATTTGTAAAAGTTAATAACTTGAGCAGCCGTGCATAAATTATCTTAACTTACGAGCCCTTGAGGTCTTTTAGACATGTTACTGTTATGTAAAAGTAGGTGATTTATGTATTCTTTTGTGGCAGTTAGAACTTTGTTAAATATGCAAAGTTCATTGCGCGGCCGCCCTCTGCCGCCGGACGACGCCGGTGCAAAAAGTCAAGGATTGTACCTACATATACGACAGAGATAAAGTAAATCGCATATAAACTTGATGTATTACACTGTGAAACTCGTACCTTATCTGTTCACTGACGATACATCCCAGTTTTATTTTAAGTTAATTATATTTGTTATTGTAATCAAAGCGTATTTAAATGAGTACTTATAAATTCTGACAAACAAATAATTAAGTGCAAGATAAAAAAAGATCATATTTTGGCCCATATCTATATATAGTTAATAGTTATACTTATTTTTTGAAATAACTAGATGAGGCGGGGGAAATATCAAAAGATCTCAATATCCCTGGACATCTGCCTGTGTTGTTTATGGGCAACGGTCGCACCACTATTCACTTATAATATATAGGAAATAGAAGTTTACTGAGAGTAAAAGATGTGCGGGAGAGATCATCTATTAATCTAGCTTTCAAAAATCCCGTTCCAGACGTCGAGTGCAGGGTTAGATGCCCTACATAACATGTATGACGTCATCGGGAATGAGGGTATCTGTTACATTGTGTATGCAATTAATTAGACGTTAAATGTTATAAAGATGACGAAATGTAGATAAATGTTTCGTCAGCCGCCAGAAGTCAACGGAAATATCAACAAATCAACAGAACGGTCAATAAATAGATTTGCGTCAGAGTATCAATACAAAGCTAAACATTAGGTGCCCGCATCTGCATCTGCATCTGCATCTGCACCGGCGCCGGCGCCGGGCACAAAGCTTACGTGCAAATTGTGTGTTGTGCTTCTGCGGTAGATATTCTGACAATAGGCAATTCTATCTACCGACGTTGCAAAACTAAAGCGATACTATTACTATAAAACATTTGTGCAGATTACCTAAAAGTAAGTTATTGTAGTTTTTATTATTTTACGACCCTAACTTTAGTTTGACCGTTTTTCCGAGATGCCGTAAACTAGTAATAAGTTGTAGTTATTATGAAGAATGTGGGTGAGTGAGTGAGTGAGTGGGAAATTGTAACAACTTGATTATGATAATCATACAAGCTTTGCTTTGACAAGTTGCAATTGTTAAATAGGTCATGTAGAAATCTGTGACGCGTCATTCAGATTAGCTGACACTTGACCCTCCCGGTCTACAAAAGTTTTATTTTTATTTTATCGTGTTAATTATTCAGTTTATTTTTGCAGAATATTCGGCAGCGCGTGCTCCGACATGTCGGACTGCGAGTGCGGCGCGGAGGACCACCACTATGAGACTTACAAGTGAGTTTGCCAAAACCGAGTCTGGATGTCATCCATCCAGTATTTGTTATGTATAATAATAATTACGAATGTGTACTGCCACCAGAAGTCCCTTCTGTTCGCACTCGGCTAGCTTCAGCAGCGCGGTGAACTGCGGTGAGCGCACGCCGCTGCTGGCAGCGGCCCGCAGCGACCCCGAACAAACAACATATAACACCATTTCCAGCTCAGACTCACTGGTTTGTTCTTTGTTTTATATTAATCAATCTGTATATAACGTGCGTTAAATAACTACAAAGCAATTGAGTAGTTTAATTTAATTTAACTCTGTCAGGGTCCCGGTGAGATCTCCGGTCGCGACATCATAGAAACGTACAAACGCCTGGAGAAGGAAAACAAGTCGGAGCCGGAGCGGAGGCAGAGCTCGCTGGTCACCATGTGAGCATCAAGTTTAGATACTTAATAAATTGTATTAGTTATTTACGTAACACTCCAAATAAATTAAAGTTTGCGACCGACAGCATTGGATGTTATTTTTATTCAGGTAGTTGTTTCTATGTGAATGATAAATGTTCTAAAGAAAATGTTGAGTCAGCGGCTTCTATCAGATATGGAAACTATTGTAATGTATGTAAAACGTTTTTTGCGTTAATTCACAAATTGTGCAGACAGTAAACTCAAGTAGTAAGAAAGATGTGTTGTGGCAGCTTCTCTGTGTGGAATACAATGATGGGCTCGTCGTTGCTGGCCATGGCGTGGGGCGTGGCGCGCGCGGGTCTGCCGGCCGCGCTGCTGCTGCTCACGCTGATGGCGGCACTGTGCCTCTACACCGCGTACCTCTTGCTCACCGTCAACCGGCACCACGGCGGCGCGCGTTGCGAGGTGCCTGCGCTCTGCGGCCGGCTACTAGGCTCGGGCGCCGCCGCCGGGGCACACCTCTTCAGCCTCCTCGTACTGCTCGGCGCCACCGTCGTCTACTGGCTCCTCATGGCCAACTTCCTCTATCACACCGTCAACTACTTTATGGGTAAGTGGACCGCCCTTTTTTACTAAAGAGCTGCTCCTCTGTCACCGTTATGCTCTGGATCAATACTTTCTCAGATTTAAGGCCAACGAATGGTAGCAAGGACATAACGGGGCTGCTGTGCCCAAAGCAAGAGGCTCCGTCGGTGGCCGCGGCGCCATTCTCGCAATACTGGGGGCTGCACACTACCGTGCCGCTGTACGTCGCGCTCGGCATGTTCCCGCTTCTCAATTTCCCCAATGTCACATTCTTCACCAAGTTCAATTCATTAGGTTTGTATGGTCCAAGGTCTAACTTATTATATGGTTTGAAAAGAAACTTATCATGATGTATTTGTATCATCAATTATTGTCGGCGTTAATTTAAATTAGACCATCTAATAATATGCAGAGCTGTGGATAAATATGTGATTAGTGAGGGCGTGTTGCTACAGGCACGCTGTCGGTCGCCTACCTGGTGGTGTTCGTGGTGTACAAGGGCGCGTCGTGGGGCGTGCACCCGGCGGTGGGGGGTGCGGCTGGGGTGGCGGAGGCGGCGCAGACGACGCGCGGGGCGGGGCTGGACGCGGCGGCGCTGAGCGGCATGCTGGCGCTCTCGTTCTACATCCACAACATTATCATCACCATCATGACAAATAACCGCAAGCAGGAGAACAATGTGAGCCTCGACACTATCTTAGCAAGTAATAGTCGATGTTCAAGAAGTTAAATATCAGTTGTTGTGTATGTGTTGGTCAGGGCAGGGACCTGTCGATCGCGTTCCTGCTGGTGACGGTGACGTACACAGTGGTCGGCGCCGGCTTCTACATCTGCTTCCCGTTGGACAAGGCCTGCATCGAAGATGTGAGATCCACTTACACAAATTCATCATTTACTTTCGTATTTACAAAGTGTTGAATACAGTTTTAATTCCAGAATATCCTGAACAACTTCGAGATGCACGACGTGATGACGGCGGTGGCGCGCGCGCTGCTGCTCTTCCAGGTGAGGTTCTACACATGTAGCATGACAACTTGCTCTAATGGCGACATTGGTTTAATCGATGCGAGTTCTCTTGGAAAGGCATTAGCAGTGAGTGTGGTGTTTCGGCAGGTGGTGACGGTGTACCCGCTGGTGGCGTTCATGCTGCGCTGTGAGGCGGTGCTGCTGCTGGGGCGCGCGGGACTAAGGGCTGCTAGGCTGGGGGCTGCGGGCGGACAGTCGCGCTGCCTGACGCTAGTCGTCAACGCTGCTATCGTGGCGGTCTGCGTGCTGCTCGCCTGCCTCTGCCCCAATATCAGCACCGTCATCAGGTTAGCGGACATGTTATTAAGTTTACTACTAACAGTTTGCCCTCTACTCTGCTACACAATTTCTTAAACTTTCAACATCTTTTTCCGCTATCATACAACTAAGAAAATGAACGTCGCTGTGTCAGGTACACGGGCGCGGTGAGCGGGCTGGTGCACGTGTTCGCGCTGCCCAGCTTGCTGCAGCTGCGCTCGCTGCGTCTGCGCGGCCGGCTCAGCTGTGGCAAGGTCGTACTTTACTCGGCTATTCTACTCTTCGGCGTCGCCAACCTCGCCTTGCAGTTTTTTGTCACCTAACAAGTACCAATACCAAGAAATTACGATAAACCGTTGTATAACACTATTGCTACAGTCTGATGTCTTGTGTTAAAGTTAAAATATCGTTAAGTTTCGGTAAGTATATCGTATCGGTAAGTTTTAATCGCGATCTCATTTGTGTTATTTTATTATAGTCAGTGGATTGTGAATGATTCCGTAAGATTATTTATGTGCAAATAAAATATTTACGTATCATTTAATGTTTCTATCTAGTCATTGTTATTACAAATAGGAGATAAATAAAACGTGTTATTTGTATTTTAGCATTTATTCATATAAATAACAAAGAAAAACCAATTGAAAAACATTAAAAAAGTATCACCTTCTGCCGCATTCAGTTATTTAACCGTTAATTAAACATTAACTTAGTGATTAATTATTTTCATACCAAATATAGTATGTTAAGGTACTCCCTAAATAACATTATAAAGATTCTGAGTGCGGCAGATAATCTCGCTTATAACTGATTATGTAAAACGATGTAGTTTTATTTTATAAAAATATAAAATAAGAAACAATAAACATTTTCATTTAACAATAAACATTTCTTACTCACTAAATACATTTCTGATAAATAACAATAAATAGTTATAATATTTTGAACTGTTTGAGAGTTTATGTACCTGATAGTAGGATGTAAGTTGATGGCGACATTCATAGGAATAAAGTTTAAACGTGAATAAAGAACTTTCAGAAATATTTGATATTTGAGCAAATATTTATATAAATAAAATCATCACAAAAATGATACATTTACACTTTGATAACAATAACTCTGAACAATATAAAATAATTTAATATAATAGTTGTAAAAATTAAATATAACAGCTTTTGTACGGCTCATTATTTCTAAATCTCATGTAAAATAAACAAAAATAATGTTTGTTTGTTTTGTTTACAACATTAATATAATACGTATGTTCTATTTGTCTTTTCCCTTTCTTTGGTATTTTCATTAAATTGTTTATACGCTAAATAATATTTTGATGAATTTTAAATTAATTAGAATTCGGATGTACATTTTCAGATTTGATAAATCATTTGCTCAGCGAACATGGAGAATGTTTTGGATTATTAAATGAAGAGAAAAAACGTTTTGATTCTTTAGCAAAGTTTGACATTTAAAACGTGAAGCTTATCCCGTGAAGTAAATCAGTTTGACTTAGGTCCAGGCCAACTGCCAGCGCTAGTGAGGTGGTGAGGTGGTGAGGTGGTGAGATGGTGATGGTGGGGGAGGTCTAGGTGATGACAGTGGGGCGGTCCCTGCCGGTGTAGTGATGCAGCTGTGTGAGATGCAGGGCGAGGTCCAGCAGCGGCTGCAGGGCATGGCGTGCGTCACGACGCAGCGCCTCCGCCTCCGCCCCCGCCTCCGCCGGCTCGTAGGCCTCCGCGTAGAGACGCACCGTGGCGCCCGCGCTGCCGGTGCCGCTGAGACGCAGCACGAGCCGCGACCCGTCGGCGAACACCACGCGCAGACCCTGGCCCGTCGCCACGCTGCCGTCTATCGGGTCCGTGTACGAGAAGTTGTCCGCCGCCTGCACCGAGTACCTCCTGTCGCCGGAGGAGAGGCTGGACCCCACGAAGCCGGGCGCGGTGATCTTCTCCTCGAGGTCCCGCATCATGCGCGCGCAGGGCTCCGCGGCGCACTCCTCGTAGTCGTAGCGGGCGAAGTAGTTGCGACCGAACTCCCGCCAGTGCCGCAGCAGCGTCTCCTCCACGGAGGCGCCGCTGTCCGCCAGCACTGACAGCCAGGCCAGCGCCGCCCACACGCCGTCCTTCTCCCGGATGTGGTCCGACCCGGTGCCGAAGCTCTCCTCGCCGCACAGCGACAGCCGCCCCGCGTCCATCAGGTTGCCGAAGTACTTCCACCCTGGGGGAGAGGAATGCGTCACTGATAGCATCATAGGTTGACAGTGGTCAAACAAATATATTGCGACGTTGGACGTACCGGTGGGCACCTCGAACATCTCCTTGCCGAGCTTGCGGGCGACCCTGTCGACTGCGGCGGCGGTGGGCATGCTGCGCGCGAAGCCCCGCACGCCGACGCGGGCGAAGTACGGGATGCGGTGCAGCTGGGCCGCCAGCACCGCCAGCGAGTCCGACGGCGTCACGAAGAACGCGTCGCGACCGATTATCATGTTGCGGTCACCTGCCGCACCGCAACGACCACATCGCACCACTGAGTACACAAGCAAACAGATGTATCCGACATAACTAGGTATATTTCTCACCGTCTCCGTCGAAGGCGGCTCCGAAGTCGTAGTCCCCGTTCTTGACCTCGTTGACGAGGTCGGCGGCGTAGGTGAGGTTGGGATCAGGATGAGCGCCGCCGAAGTCCTGCAGCGGGGTGACGCGGCGCACTGCATCCTCCCCCGCGCCCAGCTCGCTCACGAAGATGCGCCTCACGTACGGACCCGTCACTTCACATAATGTTCACTCACAAGCTGCTTTGTGTTCACACTTTTGCATTTCAAGTTATTTTACATTGAAGCGTATTTACCTCCGCTCATGGAGTCGATGAGCACTTTGAATGGCTTGCGGTGCTCGGAGCCCTGCAGCAGGCTGCGGATCTTCGGAAAGTCGAAGATCTCCTTCATGTAGTCCACATAGTCGCGCACTGAGTCTATCACCTCCACCACAAATTCACGATTTGCCACCTAACAAAAAAAACACATTGCAAAACTGTGTAAAATTATGACTTAGTGCAGGATGAGTGTAAAATTGACAATATTTTAAACAATAACCCAAAGAAACATAATAAGAGTGCAGTAAAACTCTACCTTGAAAGTCTGCACACCAATGTCATCAACAGGGCAGACGAGGTCGGGCACAATCTTGTATTGCTGTATGGTTGTGGTGAGCTGGTAGATGTGGTTGGTGGTGGCATCGGGCGCGGGACCGCCGTTGCTGCAGTTGAACTTGATGCCAAAGTCATTGTCTATGCCACCCGGGTTGTGTGATGCTGTTAGTACTATACCACCTGTACATGTGACATAAATTCTATGACATGACATTCAATTATGTACCGTAGGTTTCCATTGCACTAAACTCCTTTGACACACATAATTATAATTTTTTTTGTATTTACAAATTATCAACATAAATAAAAATCTTATCACTGCCCGCACAAAAATTTGATAACCACAATTTTTTAAATGCGGTTACTTTTTAAATAATAACTATCAATTACTAAAATGTAAAGTCATTATAATTATGATTTAAATCAGTTTTAATAATAAAAGAAACCAATAAAATGATGCAACATGTAGCATGATATACATTTATCAATCAATATTGTATTCAGGTACTGCGTCAGGACTGAGTGATGTAATAATATTTACATTCTCAATAAGTTTACAACAACCTTACAATCTTATCTTACTAATATCTTATCTCTTACTATAATTATAAATGTGAATGTTAAGATAGATGGCTGGATGTTTCTATAAAGGTATCTGATTGTTTAGAAGTATGCAGAACACTGATATATTTGGCACAGATGTAGAATGTAGCTTGGAAGAACACATAGGCTACTAAGTTTTTTTAATACCACACAGATGGAGTCACAGCTGATAGCAAGTGATTAATAAAAACAATATCAGAGTTGTAGAATAATCATGTTTTTTCATTAAACTTAACGATTATTCAAGTATTGAGATGTTTTTTTAAACATACTTAGCTATTCATTTTGATGTTGTTAGAACTTGTTTAGACTACTTGCTAAGTCATCCTAAGCAAGCTAAGTTTTAGCTGAGTAGTATGACAAAACAACTTTACAAATCTCAGATATGATAATTCTGTAATTGATATCACATTTACTTACCTAATGTTTTATATTTCCTTATTATGCAAGAAACAGCAGGAGTTGAGAGGAGGCCATTTTGACCAATGAGCAGTTTAGCCACCTGTAAACGAACATAGTGATTTAATTTAATATTAAAAATCAGGCTGAATATGTAATATAAGAAGCTTAACTATAGCCTTAAATGAAACCTTGACCTTTTTAAACATCTCATTTACTGATGTACATGAAGGGAGTAAAAAGGACAAGGAGATGTTTAACTACATCTATAGTGACTTCCAATATGGATACAATTTATTTAAATAATTTATACTCACCCCATTACCGGCGCAGATCTTGATAATTTTGTCTACGACCTCCTTGACCAGATATCTGCCGTCGCCTCCGACAACCAACGTACACCCTTCTAGCGACCCTTTATTTGCGTCTAAAATACTTTGGATAAAGTTTTCTGTGTAATTATCTTGGAGGAAAACCTTGACTTTTTTTCTGAGACCGCTGGTTCCCGGCTTTTGTCCCTCATAAGGGTTTGTATTGACCGTAACTATATTTAACATTTTTTTTAATTCTATTTGTAGAAACTTCTCGAAAATTGAAACAGTTATGAGTTTGTTATTCGTAAAACAGCTATTATATTTACGATATCGGAGTTCGCAAGGTCAATACTTTGATCGAACTGTAACCGCAAACTATAAAAACATAAAAATAAGTTGGACTAACTGTTGGACATCTAGCTGTCAAATCAAAGTCAAACAAGGTCGAGAAAACAAAACGTTCCGTTTTAAGTAATATTTGCTTTTTTCGCTTTCGGTGTTTATTTAATTATTATTAGAATCATAAATAAAATTGAAAATACTCTTGTCTTTCGTGTAACTATTTATCTGTATGTGGTTTTCGGTATATAGCATTTTACTTGGATCATCTGGAATTCTTGGAAAAATCTGGATACAAGCAAAAATATAGATGGCGCAAAACTCTGATATTTTTAATTATTTTGGATTGCCATTTTTTTATTTTCGCTTATGTTTTCAAGAGTAATTTTTAGCGCGTGCTTCTATTGATTAAAAAAAATCTACACTGATTTTGCATAGAAAGTAGTAATTACTAAAACATAAGTAATTGTTTGTATAACGTAATAAGAAAAATGATGACAATAGGCAAAAACTTACAATTAAACATAACGAAAATGTAGTTTAAAAAATAGTTTCAGTTTTTAAATATAACTTACGTATCACTCTTGTTTAACGTCTCTCTTAAAACCTGAACTTATTAAAAAAGTAACTTTTTCTATAACGTGACAAGAGACAAAACCCATGATTAATAAGATATCATTATTCTTTTCGATGCACAAAAATAGTTGAATCTGTGGTTAAAGTGGCAGAGCAAGAGCGATCGCTTGTAATTAGAAATTGCAGTGGTCACGCTTACAAACCGCATACTTTCTCCACAAGTAAATTGCGCTAGAATTAAATTATTTAAACTTTCCTGAGATATTATTATAAACTTATATATATAAACGCCTATATACTCACGGACAAATACGTACGAGAGTGTTTAACTGTTTATGTATTGCTATTATTGATTGCTTCTAACTGCATCAGTATGTTCTCACATTTTTAGTTTAACTTCATTTATTTATTGGGTTCAGAAGTGGTTAAGATAGATAAGGCAAAATAATAATTCATAATTTCACTAAGGGACTGGACCCTGGAGGTGCACCTCACACAATAATTATTTTAATAATCTTTATAACATATCTGACACATTTTTTATAATAATCTGTCCGTTAAGGTTGCACCATCACATCACAATCACCAAAACACATTGGATACCTAAAAAGGGCAAATAAACAAGCAAGGTATTTGCCAATATGCATCGTCATGGTTCATAAAGTCGTTAACCGATTTGTTTACGTAAACGGTACACAGGTCAAGTTATGTTAGATTTAAGATTAAATAATCAAATTATTTAATGCATTTTTAGTGTATTTTATTACGTTATTAATTATAGTAATATTTTTATACCATAAAGTGGGATACGAGCAAGTGCCTACCTGGATTCGCCGAAATAAAATACTGACCGCCATAGACATCCGCGCTTGCAGATGCTTTGCCTTACATTTACATTTATACTCTGTGGTATCATTCAAATTAATCATAATATTGCGTCTGTGAGTTCGATTTTTTTTTTGAGTCGTAAATACATAGCCGAAATAGCTCAGTTGGGAGAGCGTTAGACTGAAGATCTAAAGGTCCCTGGTTCGATCCCGGGTTTCGGCAAACATTCATTTTGCATAATTCATCACTATACAGAGATAAGTTCTTCTTTCTATTTTAAAGTTCATTCAATATATGAGTAAGTACATTTTTAAAATTTAAAATCGATTTAAAAAAAGATTTCCCGTACCGGGAATCGAACCCGAGCCTCCTGGGTGAAAGCCAGGTATCCTAGCCACTAGACCATACGGGATACATTTAGCTTTTTGGAATTATAGATAATTTTATAAAGCTCGTTAAGAATGAGGCGAAAGGCAGCCTGTATATTATGTTATTCAAAATTGATAACTTATAGTGTAACAAATATATTCGCCCCAGAGAGTTGAGATAAACAATTACAATTGAAGTGTCTGTATATAATATCGGAAAAAGGGTGAACGTTATGCAAATTTGCTTGACTTATAACGAAAAACGTTTTTTTACTGGAAGGTAAGCTGATACACGCGGGATTATTATAGTTATAGACTATATAGCGTAGCCAGAAAAACTTTACCATATTACGGAAAAAATTGGACTAAAAAGAAAATGACGTAATAAAGAATCCGTTTGAAGCACTCACGTTGTCCAAGGTTTTTAAATTGTTTTTTAAAATTCTGCGTTTTTATTTAAATTGTGCGACGCCGAAGTTGCGGGCGCGACCGCGGGCGCCGCCGGCGACTGCTAGTAGATAAAAAGTAGAGTATCGCTTTAGTAGAAACAAGTTTTGACTACTGTTAATATGACAAGATTCAGTGCAGTTTAGCGTAGAGCGGTGTGCAGGCGCGCGGCCCCACACACTCTGTACTTTATTATTTATCCAATGTGTCACTGACATTTTGTATAAAGCAAAAACGGAAGAATTAAGGTTAGTCTTTTGTTTATTTTTTAATTAATTGCTTTAGAAACAAAGCTTTTGTTTTTAGTTAACTTTAACATTTTGTTTTTTTTTTTTGTATAATGAATAAACATTTTGTGTTCTATTACTATTTGAAATAACAAAAAAACAAACAAGATGTAGCACAGACAGACGCGGTCACTAGGTCTCATTTTATTATTATCATCATCAGCCCACTATATCTTCCCAGTGTGCATCACAATATTTTCCTTCACCCTAGGAAGGTTGGATAAAAGTACATATGTAAATCATAAATCAATCAAACACATTAGTACATAGCGGGATTCGAATCCAGGATTACAAGTCAACTGCTTAACCTCTGAGCCACCAAGGCTCCTATTTTATTATTAACTAGTGCAATAATAATAAATATTAATTTATTTATTAATTCATTTTCATTTGAACTGTGAACTGTGTGAGCAGAAATTTAAGTCTACTATGTAATATTGAAAAACGCTTTTCAATTTTGCTTTGTTTGTTGAGAATATTTTACATCATTGGAAAACATTTCAAGAGTGGTAGAACCCGCTTTAACATCTTCGCACGAATTGGCCAGGTTCGCCCGGTGAAATACCACCACCACACAGAAAACAGGCGTGAAGTGGAAGCAATTCCGCGTTTCGTCTGATGAGTGTGCGTCCCGGAGGCCTAATTTAGTCCTCTTTCCTTTCCCACCCTTTTCTTATAAGGAAAGGATGGGAAGTGGAAGTGGACTTTCCGGATGAGAGGATGCATGGAAAGGGAAAATATTTTCTTTCTGTGCATCCTCTCCTCCGTCGATTAAAGGTAGGCAACGCATATGCACTTGCGTATGTCTATGGGCAACGGTCACTTCGCTATTTCAGCGATTTCAGGTGGCCGCTCGCTCGTTTGCCACCTTATGATATAAAAAAAAACATTTTTTATGCAGTACTGTTATGAATACTAATTTCACATGTAATTATACATTAATCTGTTCTATTCAATCAGGATGATTGTTAATTTTGTTTTTAATAAAAAAAAAAACCTTGCGTCATTTATTTCGACAAGAGGGGAAAGGGGCCGAGTAAAGTTTCGTCGTAAGAACTCCGTCTGAGCGTGGGAAATCGCACGAAGATCATAAGAGAACTTAACGATTGTTCAACATTCATGTCACTACGTATTTTCATATTTTATTTTTATTGAATTTCATAACTAAAATAGAATTAAAATATGTAAATGAAAATATTTAATTAGCAATATATCATCGGAAATAGGCAATGTGGTTTGGTTTGAGCAATGCTTTGGTAAGCGGCTTGTGGCATGCGGCTCGCGGTTTGTTCACCTCGTTGCGCAAACGTAATGCATTCACAATAACATACATAGGTAGCATACATAATATAAGAGTACAGGCTTCAGCAATGGCAGTCAGCAGAGCAGAGCGCGTTCATTAGCCCCCGACATGTTGGATATCAATTTTACTTAATAGGTTACAGTATTTGTTACTTATGAAAACAATTCAAATACTCTTTTTCTACGCCCCTGGATCTAAACTAAAGCTAAGCTAAATTGAAAATTTCTTGATGTTTGGACGTACTGATGTGATAACATCGTGGTGGCCTGCTATGATACACAGGTTGCGTTATAGAATCACGTTGATTACAAAATCTTTTTTTTTCCTAACAGATTATATTAAGTTTAAGGAATGTTGCCATTATATAATATGTATATCGACTTATACGACGTATAATTTGTTCGATCATTTAAGTGACACAAAACACGAGAAATATGTTTGTACTCCATTCTTCTCATTGACCTTTTACTCATTAACATCACGGAACTCGGCTTTGTTTTGTTGAATATTTGTAATCATCTGACTACCATATAATATATCAAAAGTTGAATTGTGAACAAATGTATACCTAAGATTGATTTGACTTTTGAATGTCCATTTCCATTCATTGAGTTTATCTTCGTGATAAAGAAATTGTGCAGTTATCGTTATTATAATGTAAGTAAACACATATTTTTTATTTGTTCTTAATTTTTCTTTAAATAAAAATTTAAATGCAGTTCGAATGCAATCGTTCGTTACCTGCAATATAGTTGTTATTTACAAATTATTATATCGCACCTCTTGCAAAATAACTGCGCGTGTGTATTGTATGTTCGCGTGTTTATAATTGCAATATTGTGTTTGTTTATTATTGCCGAATGCGAATGTAAAGTATTCTTTATAAAGAGAAGTTTTCTTTAGCAACTGCTCACAAGGCTGTTACAGTTTCCATACCTTGGTACCTTAATCCGCAGTTTTTGTTGACTTATCTGCGAAGAAATTTAAAGATATGTGTGAAGTAAACTAACAAGCACTGGGCCTGCGTGATTAAGGCTTAGTCATCTTTAACTTGGGGTGGACTTAGTGGGGACGTATAGTTAGTTGGATCACGTAATAAAGTCGGTGAATATATTATAAATGAAGTACTAATGTGTTTAGAAATTTTATTTAAACAGACAAATAAGTATTAACAAAAAAAATTCCAACTTATTTGTGTATTTAATTGTATTGTGTTCAAACGCAGACTTGAGTTGCGCGCGGCCTTGGACTAGAACTTTGTACCTAACCATATTTACTTAGTCAGTTCATTATTGTATTTAACAAAAGTAGTTAGTGTAACATTAGCTAATACTTAAGAAGTGAATTAATCCAAAGTTAACTATAATATTATTTAATTAGTGCAAATCAGAAGTGTGTTGCGAGATAAATACAGTCAGAATTGATTACCAAACTATGTGAGTTCCGTCATTAAAATAATATTTTATTTGTTACAGACTTCCACAACAAGAGCAGCTTCATGAGAAATGTCTACAAAATCTACTGTTGCCACCATACTCACAATTGTGGTCTTTTACCTTCGGCTCTTTCTTGACAAAATGTTGGATTTCCTGTTCTCACTGTACTGGGACGATAAGAAGAAGATCATCCCGGACCTGGACAAGAGGCACACGATCCTCACAGAAAGCGCCGTGACCCTCGCCAGAAAGATCAAAGCCAAGGAGCTCAAGTCAGAGGACTTGGTGCGAGCAGTTATTGAGAGGATAAAAGAGGTATAGTTTTATGTTGTCAAACGTCATCACTAGAGTTTCAGTTTTCTCAGTTTTTCTTTCTAGTTAAATGATTTCTCTTATACATACGAGAATAGAAGTAAAAGTTAGTGCGGAACATGCAGGTGAACCCGATATTAAACGCGGTAGTGAGGGAGCGGTATGAGGCCGCGCTGGAGGACGCCAGGCAGGTCGACAGGTTGATCGCTGCGGGACTCTCTGATCAAGATGCCAACAAACCCTTCTTAGGTAAGCTTTTGTAAATTAATGCAGACAATAGTTAGGAGAAATGATAACAAAAATCAACACTATCATGAAATGTTTACAGGTGTGCCGTTCACGACAAAGGAAAGCCAGGAGATAAAAGGCTTCTGCAACACGATAGGGCTGTGGTCGCGGCGAAACGTCATCTCCACCGAGGACAGCGACGCGATCGTGTTGCTGAAGAGGGCCGGGGCCATCCCGCTCGCCGCCACCAACCTGCCGGAGTTACTCATATGGTCAGCCCTCTTCTGGTGCTGTCTACCTTTAAAGAAATTTCTTTTAGAAAGACTTGCGTTGTTTTGTTTGCATCAATCAGGCAAGAGACCCGCAACCCGGTGTACGGCATGACCCTTAACCCCCACCACACGGGGCGCTCGCCGGGGGGCTCCAGCGGCGCCGAGGCCGCGCTCTGCGCCACCTACGCTACACCCATCAGCCTCTGTTAGTGTTCTCCAACTTTTTAAAATAATAAGTAGCGTTATCTCTAGAATGTATGTATCTTGACTTTTATAACAGAAACCATTTCGTAACGAAGACTTTGTAGTAAGAATACAAATAAATCAAAAATCCAGGTTCGGACATCGGGGGGTCGACTCGCATGCCGGCGTTCTACTGCGGCATGTTCGGCCACCACCCCACTGCCGGCATCACCAGTGTTAAGGGTACTTACTGTACTTACTTTAACTTCACGCAAAATTCAAAAAGGTAACGAATGCGGTTATAACTTATTAGCGGATAGCGAAATTGGTTCGCGCGGAATTCAAGAAAATCCATTGATAAATATAGTCTGGATGACACCTGGGGCACGACATAGCTTCTCAGCAGTAAAAGAATTTTTCAAATCGGTTCAGTTGTCTCGGTTTCGGTGGTGTCGGTTTATAGTAAACATGCAATTAGATCTTACCTCATTATAATATAATATTAGAAATTAAAACCAATATATGTTTGCTTCAGGTGTGTTTTTCCGTAAGGGTGACGAGGGTGACACCATGTTCTGCCTGGGCTTCATATCGCGCTGCGTGGAGGACCTGGCGCCGCTCACCAAGGTCATCGCCGGGGACAAGTCGCACCTCCTCCACCTCGACAAGGACGTCAACATTCAGGTGAAAGCTTATTATCTAAGTATCAACTGTCGATTCATGAAAAAGTTTGTAATTTTGTGAAGTCCGTTGGCAGGACATCAAAGTCTACTACATGGAGTCTGCCGACGATCGACTGGTCAGCCCTGTCCGGATTGAGATGAAGAACGCGATGCAAAGGTAATGCTGGTCTCATCGCATTTTACTCAGCTAAATTTTTTATTTTGTTTCTGCAATTGTTGGGATCAAAACGTGTTTGTGTAATCAGAGTGGTGAGCAAGCTGAGCGAGGAGAGCGGCGCTCCGGAGCGGTACTCGCACGCCGGCTTCCGGCACATGTACCGCCTCTGGAGCTACTGGATGTCTCGCGAACCTGACGACTATATGGCCTTGTACGGGGATGGACAAAGACCCAACGCCTTCCTAGAACTCGCCAAGAAGGTCAGAAACACTAAGAAGTACCCGCAATACTGCCCACTGAAGATATTGATATAAAAAGTAACGATGTATATTGCAGTGTGTGGGCATGAGCAACCACTGCCTGTTCACCATCCTGCGACTGTTCGAGCTGAAGTACCTGCCCGGTCTCGACGCCGCCTGGGCCGAGAACATCACCAAGGAGATGAAGGAAGATCTATTCGTGAGTGCACACTGTAGCATAACCAAGTTTTATGTCATGTAGTCGCATGTGAGGGTACTAGCGGAGTGACGATGTCGCAGGGCAAGCTGGGTGACAACGGAGTGCTGCTGCTGCCGAGCAGCCCGCACGCGGCTCCTTTCCACTACTCCGCTGTGCTGCGACCGTTCAACTTCTCCTACTTTGGTATCGTCAACGTGCTCAAGTGCCCGGCGACACAGGTACGTGTTAGACTTCACTGAGAAACACGATTTAGTGAAAAACGTGATTATAATCCTAACTAGGAAAGTTGACGATTTTATTACACTGAGTACTTATGTATAGAATGTATTTACTGTAAGGTTTGACCCGCAGGTGCCGCTTGGCAGAAACAGCGTGGGCCTGCCGATCGGCATTCAGGTGCTGGCGGCGCCGCACAATGACCACTTGTGTCTCGCCGTCGCCAAGTACCTCGAAAAAGAGTTCGGTGGAGCTATTATGGCCTGCGAAGTTAAAACTTAATGTATTTTTATTTTTTTAAGTAAATAAATGTATAAATATTCTTTTTTTTAATACATGTGGCCACCATTACCTAAGTGTCTGTAAAGCATTTTGACCTTACAATTTGAAGCTAAAAATAGACTAAAGTCTCGAGGAAATCGATTCTGTTTATTTCGGAATTAATTATAGTCACGCCGAGGCAGGCGAAGTCAAAACAAAAATGAACACGGTCAATAACCGTGCTCTTCTGCCATATTTCCATTATGAATAATTTACCGATTATGCAAATAATTTGACCTAGTGTTATAAAAATATTGGACTTTAAGTATTACTTGTTCACGCGGTTTTGCTTCTGTGTTAAGTAAAAAAAATAAGACAATGTAATTTAAATAAAACACTTAATAAGATTAGTTAAAAAGATTACTTCAAAAGTTAGCTCCAACTTATCCGAAATAAAAACAAAACATTTTAAACATTTAAGTTTCTTGAGACCAATAACAAGATTGTTGTGAAATAACTGGTGAGCTGCACTTTTACATATTCTGAGTGCGATGTCCACGCAGGGTGAACGTGTTGTGAATATTCAGTGCAAAAAAGATAATATTTTCCAGGTAAATTTTATTATAGGAAATTAGTTTTGTTCAATTTGAACTTAAACAGCAGAATGTTTTTCAGTGGAATTTTGTTTAACTTTTTAATAACTGTATTTTAATCTGTATTTTGAAGTTAAGATTAAATTAAATTTGATTGAAAGTGACATTGACATTACTAATTAACCCAAAATAAAACATTTATTAACAAAAGTATTTTTTTTGTTTCCGTGTACAATTATAACACTTAGTTTAAATTACTCTAAATAAGAGAAAGTTACGTAGTTGACGTACAAGAAAGTGTAAGCATGTTTTTACAGATTACTGATTATATTCATGAGCAGTAAACACAGTTGGATAAAGTTTTATATAAAACTACTTTTAAACGATTTATGATATCCATAAATCGTATAAAAGTAGTTATTACCTAATATAGTATATAGCATTTTGTTTTAGTTATGTGAATGATAGGATTAGCAATAGCGCCAAAAATGTGGTATAAAAGAGTATTTGGTGAACCTTGTTGAATAAGAGGCTCTAAATTCGAAGTGCAGGTATGCGGGCATGTATGAATGTATAAGAGGCGAGAGTGATGTGTCAGGAGTATATAATTGGAGGTCGGGTATCTGCCCACTCCTCTGGGTTACGGTCGTAAGTTATGTTGTTCATTTAATTATATTTGGTTTTGCTACTTTAGTCAATATTTTTTTTTCAGTTCCGCACTACTAAGCCTAATAAAATATTCGAAGGAATGGCTTCCGATATGTTCAAGCAATTCTTTCTTCTTTTGCGGACATACTTTGATATGTTTATAGACTTTGTATTCTCATTATATTGGGAGAGACAGAGACAACCAATACCAGGTTTAGAAAAGAAGCATAGTATGCTTTCTGAAAGTGCTGTGGATTTAGCATCTAAAATACGTAACAAACAATTAACATCAGAGGAACTGGTGCAAGCCTGCATTGAAAGAATAAATATAGTAAGTACATACTATAAATGTATAATATCTTAATATTTAATTTCCTAATACTATAACAGTGGTGAGTATTTGTAATATAACATCTAAAAAGGCATAAATGTGCATGCAGCATTGCATAATATTAATATTGAATAAGAAAACATTTAACTTTGTGATAAAATTGAAATTTATTGGCCACAGTAAATTTCCACTTGTTTACAACAAAATGTTTCCATCAAAAATACTTTGATATGCCTTTTAAAATAACCTCTATTTTGAATGAATGTATTTTAATTATATTAGAGATCACTTTCCTATTTCATGATAACTTGGCCTAGAAAATAACCTGTTTTCTTATATTATTGGTATATTCATTTACATACTTGATCAAGTTATTTTTTGTGGTGACTAGTGATTTTGTTTATTATTTTTTTATATTTTTAACAACATAACATCAAGGTCATTAATAAATAGAGTCATAGTTTTTTAACGTTCTATTTCATCTAATCAGATAAATTAAATTGGAGTGTCTGTATGTGTGCGTCAGTTATAACAAAATTCTAATTTACAGTTAGTTTTGTAAATACATAAATGAGGCTATAAAAATTCATTTCTGCATAAATTTACATAAGTCACATCCTCAAACAAGTCGACTTTTTGTATCTGTGAAGAGACTTCATAGATTGAAATCTTGTTTATCACTTCATACAAAGTACACAATAGACAAGTTTTTATATTTTTACTAATTAGATAAAAATTAGTTTTTAGCATTTAAATTCATTATAAACATGGGTGAGGTTTATACTTTAGTGGCGTTCAGCAACGAACTGTTGCATTAGCATATGCAAATTAAGGAATCTGTTTATATGCAACTAGCGGTGGCCGCGGGACTCTGTCCTCGCAGAATTAAAATAAAAACGTAATTATGTATTCTTCCAGACTATGCACTAATTCTTAGCCGATTTTCATCAAGATCTATTGAGTCGTTCTGGAGATAGCTTCAAATAGACATCCATCCATCAATTAAAATATTCACATTTATAACTTCTTAGTTTGTTACTCTTATTTTTTAGGTTAACCCAATACTCAATGCAGTCACAGACGAGAGGTTTGAAGATGCTTTAAAAGAGGCGCGAGAGGTTGATAAATTGATTGAAGCAGGACAGGCCGACTTTGAGAAACAACCATTTCTTGGTCAGTGAAATAACCAGAGTTATGTTGATGAAATTTAAATATCCCATATCCAGATACTCTTAATCCCAATACTACAGAAATACTTCAAATAAGTTTTACGTAGTATTCTTAAATAAATGTTTAATATGTTTAGTTTCTGCCAATGTAAATGATGTCATTGGTCTTATGTCAGGTGTGCCGTTCACTGCAAAGGAGAGCCATGCGGTGTGCGGCATGCTGCACACGCTGGGCATCTCGGTGCGGCGTGAGGTGCGCGCTCAGGAGGACGCGGAGTGCGTGCGCCTGCTGCGCCTCGCCGGAGCCATACCACTCGCTGTCACCAACGTGCCCGAGATCAACAAGTGGCGAGTACTTTGTCCATGGGGAATTTAAATAAACTGGCTGTTTTATAGCTGCATTATAATGTTAAAATCTAAAACAAATTTATTTCCTTACACTACACTACACTACTGAAGCTACAATTTTTTTTTACATAAAAGGTGACACTAGACTATTCCAATTTCTATTTCAAATTGTATCCAGATCTATATAGCCATCATATTTCTAATATACATGATTAAGCTAGATTAAGATAACTATATTTAAGTTTGATGGTGTGTGTGTGTCGCAGGCAGGAGACGCGCAACATGGTGTTCGGTCAGACCTGCAACCCCTACCACACGGGGCGCACTGTGGGCGGCTCCAGCGGGGGAGAGGCCGCGCTCGCCGCCGCCCTCGCCTCCCCCATCTCACTCTGTCGGTGCAACACGACTCTCGTCAATATTATCGTAATAAAAATCGACACTACAATGTGTATACATTTGTAGGTTCCGACATCGGAGGCTCGACGCGTATGCCGGCCTTCTACTGCGGTCTGTTCGCTCTCAACCCCACCGCCGGCACCACCAGCCTTAAAGGTATGTTAATCCTTCATGGAAATAATTTACAACATTTGGTATCAGTTTTGACAATGGTCGTTGTCCAGGATCGGCGCTGCGTTCTGGTCGCGAGCCGACGATGGCGTCAATCGGGTTCCTGAGCAAGCACTGCGCGGACCTCGCCCCGCTCACCCGCCTCGTGCTCACAGAGACTGCGCGCGCGCACCTACAGCTCGACACACACCATCATATCAAGGTAACCACAGGTTTTGCTCTGACGATACATCATCTTATATTAATAGTGTTTTCAACATTTTCCTTGTTATTTATTCCACTGTCAGGATATAAAGATCTTCTACTGCAAGGCGGCGCACGATCTGCGAGTCAGTCCGCTAGACAAGGACATGCTGCAAACTATGGACAAGTCAGTAAACAAACTTAATACTTTTTATTTTAATGTCAAATGACCTCAACTTAATTAGTTATACAGCCGCTAGATGTCGCTCTTATTAAAACTTATTTTTCTCCTTTAAGAAAATATTTGTTTTTTTTTAATTTCGTACATTTACGAGATGTTCTGTACTTCGAGGGTGGTGGCGGCGCTGAGAGAGGACACGTCCGCGGAGCACCCGCCCCGGCCCTACCAGCACCGCGCGCTGCGGCACATGTTCACGCTGTGGCGGCACGGCATGGCGCAGGAAGCCGACAGCTTCCCCACTCTGCTCACCAACAACCAGGGACACGCCAACGGACTCCTTGAGCTACTCAAAAAGGTCAAATCTAAAAGATTACTTGCATTTTTTTTTTGAAAAGTTTTTGCCAATATTAAAACATCAGGAGGAGAAAAATATAAAATGACAGCTAATAATGTAATGTATTTAAGTTAATCTACTGTCGCAATTTAGTTTAAGACGGCGTTAACCAGTTCTCATAAATTGATTGCAGGTCGTGGGCGTGTCGAGGTACACGCTGGCGGCCATCCTGAAGCTGCTGGACGAGCAGGTGCTGCCTCCAGTGGACCGCGACTGGGCCGACAGGACCACCAGGGAGCTCAGGGAGGATCTCCTTGTAATTACATTTCATTGTTATACCTTTACATAAAGACATCTTATAGATAATTATTGTTGACTTTATGAAATGTGGGCTAACTGTGACAAAACATATCTCACGAAAGAGACTGACGAACATTTAATATGTGTATATGTATAATACATCCGGTGTACAACAGAGCACTCTGGGCGAGGAGGGGGTGCTGTTGTTCCCGAGCGCGCCCGCAGCCGCGCCCTACCACTACACCCTCTACCTGCGCCCCTTCAACTTCTCATACTGGGCCATATTCAACGCGCTCAAGTTCCCGGCAGCACAGGTACTTATTGTTGTCAGATACATTGTACTACATTTTAGAAAATATAACTTTATATGAGATGGATAATATCTTATGAGTCATTCAAAAACGATGTTATTTAATTATATTTGAATGTATGTATGTTGTTGTCAGGTGCCTGTGTGTGTGAACAGCGCGGGGGTGCCGCTGGGGCTGCAGGTGGTGGCGGCGCCGCGGCGGGAGGCGCTCTGCCTGGCTGTGGCGAACCACCTCGAGGCACGCTTCGGGGGCTTCGTCCCCCCCTGTACCCTGCATCCTGCAGCATGACCTGCCGCACTGACTGACTGCTGACTACATCCTCATTGTTACCACAAAGGTTATAGTTACTGTTAAAGCTTGTTAACACTTAGAAAAAAGGGTTAAAATATATTGGGTTTTACTGTTACTTTGGAGACTGGTACAATTTATAGTATTTACATATGAACAAAAAGTGATTGTATAAAATAGTTTTTTATATTTATTTCTAAATTTACATATATATATTATATTATGAAAATTAAAAATCTAATTTGATGTGTACTGTGATATGAAAGTATTGAACTCAAATATTAGTATCGTGATCTGTGATTACTCTCAAATATTGTATTCATAAAGTTTTTCCTATTACTTTTTCTTAATAAAATTTTATTAAAATATGACTTAACATATAAATTGTCAAATGAAATAAAATTATTTCGAGGCTTATTTATTCCAAAGTATAATATTTTATTGGAAATAAAATTATATTTATGTAAATATTTTGACGAAAATATTATTAATCCTATAATTTAGTTATAAAACTATATAAATATAGATATTGGTGGCAATGTTATGGACTGCTTCTTTACAAGTATTTTATTGAAACGGTTAAGGGAAGATATATTTTTGAATAAATATAATATATTTTTAAATGTGGTTTTATTACTTTTTACATTCGTTACATTTCCACTTTAAAAATGTTTGCAATGCCGTAGATACGAAGTTGTCGGGTGATGTGTGGTGATGATAGAAGTGTTGGACATCGAAATAAAAGTCAGATGATCGAAGTAATCATTTATTTGATTGTATATCTCCCGGCCGGGGCTGCTGGGGGCGGGGCTGCTGGGGGCGGGGCTGCAGGGG